AGAATCCGTCAACTAACCTAGTAGCCTAACGATTTATTTCCGGCCTCTTTTGACAATTTATGTAGTTTCTTCCATTCGTGAAGAATTCCAGGTCAATTTTCTCACCGGCCACGATTTTTTGTGCCTATCCCTAGAGGGATGTTTCACGGATCCAATGACACCAATATTGCTTACTGTCTCCAAAGGGATAGAGAATACGAGGCTTTAATTGCCGATTTGCATGAAAACTTGAATGCTCGCGAGCAGCACTTCCCTCTTTGACTTCACCCCCGCTTCACTCTCCCATGGTCCTTCGTTTTCCAAGAGAAGCGGATTTTTATTACCTAAGCCCTAAAATATGCACATGCATATGCGCTAAAAAATTTGGAAAATATGCCTGAAATATGCACAAAAAATGAAAAATATGTAAAATCATACTTTTTTAAACACAGTACGAATTTTTAGGTGAAGGAAATTCAAGGTACATTACATGCCTCTACTGAGTATAGTTGATCTATTCTCGTGACAACCAGCGGCGAAGTCAGGAATTCGCCAATGGAGGGCTAAGGGGAACGAACAGAGTCTATTTTTCGAAACTCTTCGAGAGGGATGGTGGTAGCGGATGGATTTAGAACAGAGTTTCCAGGGATTTACCACTCTAGCCAGCGCATAACAGCCTGAAATTTGTCATAGATTGCTCATAAATAAACATATTGTTGGAAAACTCTTACTTTTTTGATAAAAATGACCGAAATATGCACATATAAACGTAAATATGCACATGTTGAGAAAAATGTAAAAACATGCATTTTCATGCATTTAAAAAATGGCAGAAATCGCTTCCTATACCAATAAGGCACGATCTTATCTGGGTTGTACGAGAGGCTGCAAAAGAAAATATGCATCTTCGTCAGCATTCAAAAAGAATGCAGGGCGTTGCACCCGGTCGAAAACCCCTCTACGAGCCAATTGAGCGAGCCTAAGTTGGAAAGATTTGGCGATCATAACATGAGATTTTCGCAATTAACACTCATATTTATGAACGAAAATGGGCCCCAAGGTCATACAACTTTTGTAACCTATGGCAAACAAAATTGACCATAAAATGGCTGACGGATGGGATCAGCTCGAGGCAATAAGCAAAAATTTTCACCCATGCACGACGTATGTACTCCTGAAGCAGCCAACGAGGCTAAACTTGGGGCTGCAATTCCCTTTCCAACCCATTTTAGCTGGTAGTAACAGAAGTCATTCGTAAGTAAATACTCAAGAGCAGGTATTTAGGATACTACTGAATCGCAGCATCAGCATTATCGCTTGTCAATTACATTTCTGCATCGACGTAAGAAATTCTTTCAACGTTTGAGACGAATCATTTAGCTCTGATAACTCTAAACGATGAGAAAATCTTTGTGAGTTGTCGTAAGGGACTTGTTGGAGCATAGAACAATGGATTGTAGTCGTCAGTCATGCATCCATCCATGGCGCTCGTCGAATCGGCCTTCTTATCCTTTTCCGTACGTTAAGTTTCGAAAAAGGTCCGTGAAGATATGAAAATCGCACTTCGAGTTTCGCTTTTCGTACGCTAGCAATTAAATCGGATGTTAAGTTTTGTGAAAAGATTGCAGAGTTCAGGGATTTGTTCAAATTGTTTTGAAAACAGAAGTGTAGTTTTGAGAAACGGATGTTAGCAATTAGGAAAAACTCGAAGAGGCATCACAAAATGTTCCGAGTTCCGTGGTGTAATGGTAGCACATGCGATATAGCAATGCTTGCCTGACCGGCAAGCAGGAAGTCCGGGTTCAATTCCCGGTCACCCCCCGGCTTTCGATTCCTGAGTGCTGCGTTTCTTGCATCAAGTTGCTCAGCAGACTGCACGGCTCTCCTATTCCGGAGCTAAGCATTCGCTGCCTCTTGCTGTTCAGCGGTCTGAGCGGCCATACGCTCCCTACGCATATCTGCTTGCTGTTCATAACTAATTCTAGCCATTACGGCCAGCACCGATTTAGGCACTTCGCACCGCAACTGTAGTGGCAAACGTTGGTTTCGCGCCAGCACCAACAATATTTAACCAGCAGCAAATGCCTCATCGCCGTCCTCCGTCCTGTGGGACCTCCTTCAACATTTCTTCTTCGCGTTCAATCTCACCTCGCAAAAATTGCCACCATTTTGACAGGAGGTGCACCTCGTTTGCGCGACATAAGAAACAGAGACTTTTTAGACTATTATGTTGACTTCATCAATCATGAGAACTCAAATCGGCCATGACATGAAACGCAAACAGAAAACTATTGCATGGAAGCAATGTCCCGAACCTAACCCACGCCTTACCTAACGGAAAGAAAATAAATACAGAAAAAAAACACTTGAGCAAAAGAATGTATTCAAATGGAGAACTTGCAGTCGATCAGTGAAAACGTGACACGCATTCAGTTATTACCACCCTTTGATTGACGCAGCTAAGTATGAAGCCTATGACTCAGACTGATAATAGCTCGATGGACCTGGCGGCGCTAAAAGCGTTGGATGGCCAAGCCTATGGCCTAGCATAGCATAACCTCAAGGACATGGCGCTTTGAGGGGTGGATGGCCTTGCCTATGGCCTGAAGAGACATGGTCTTGTAGGCCTCGCGCGCTGGGGTGACAACCATCCATTATCACAACTCTCGGGCTCTTCGAATTAAAGTATAATATGGCCTGGAAAGGCAAAGCCTTGTAGGCATGGCCTATGACCCAGAATGGCATTGCATCGTAGGCCCGCGCGTTGGGGGTGACGACCACGACCACCACCACCGCAACTTCTGACCTCTTCGAATTATAGTATTAGATATTGGCACCATTGGTATTTCCTTTTCACTCTCTTATGCGCCTTGGTGGGAAGCAGGCCACTGACCTACCAGGTAATCGCTTAAAAAGCCGTTCTTTATTAAATATAGGACTCAACATTATATATCTATTTATTTTTTTTATTTATTTAAAAAAGATGGCCGGTTTCCGGTTTGTCGTGTTTTATTAATAAGAAAACCTGACTGGGAGAAGATTGAGGATTCGCGCAAAAGCAGATGGGAGATGACATATTTTTCCTAGATCGCTTTGTTCCTTTTCCACTTCCTTCATTGAATTCAGAGCCTGATAGACCATGCGACAAGCTCCTTCTATCTTGTTTATTGCTCATAATGGTGAATGACACCGCTCCGGGACTCGTTTTACGCCCGTAAGTGTCGCCTGAGCAGATTCCCTGTATTTCTCATGTCCTATTCTCCTCGCACGAGTCTTAACGTAGCTTGTCCCTCTACTCTTTTATGCTCATATCAAGCCGAAACAATTTGGTTTTCTCCACATTTTATCGAGGCACAAGTGAGTGGGACACGTAAAGGAAAATAAAATACGAGAAAAAGAAATGTAATGCCGCGATGGGATCGAACTGGGAGGTTTTCGGACAAAAATGCGTAATAAGCTTAGTGGGACACATGACTTGGACTAGGACTAGAGGGACTAGAGCCCTGGAGAGCAATGGGGACAAACACGGATAGATAGATGACGAAACGAGTGAAAGGAAGAAGTAAAAAAAAGAGGAATCTGGCTCTCTCTCTCTCTCTCTCTCTTCGGTTCGTGATGCGTGGAGGGGAGTGGACAAAAACCGGATCTGTCCGGTTTCCTCGGTCCCATTCATGTCATAAGAAATGGGATGTGCAAGACGCACTGGCCACTCCGAGAGTAATTAGGACTTCCTCCACGAGTGAAATGCGACTCATTTATCTCCTCGTTCCTTACTTCCTTCTTTTCAGCCTCTCAAACACAGGTGAGCCCTCCCTGACGACTCTTTCAATTCCTCAGAAGTATTCAATGCCCCTGATCTCCACCATGACAAGGGTGGCTTTGGAACCAGTGGCTCGGGGAAGCTTTAGAGTACGGGCAAGGCTTTATTCGTAAGAACTCTCTGAGCACTACACATAAACCGAACGGACACGTCCAAATTGTCGGATGTGACATCCGACATTTTAATTGAAAACATAAAGTCTGTATACAGTGGACTCTCGTTAACACGAACTGCCTTATGCCAACCCAATCTGTCCGAACTAACAGAAGTTCGTGTTATCCATATTCCTGCAGATCTTCATTTCTCATCCTTTTTCGTTTTCCTGCGTCTCTCCAGTATAATAACTCCCCCAAAATCTTCTCGCGGATTTGCCACACGGTGCCAAGATCAAGTGCTTTGGACATCTCACTTTGCTTGGTACCCTTCTGCAATTGGCTGATAATGTCAACTTTGTCTTTTGTAGACAAAGCCTTCTGCTTCCGATATGCTGCCATAGCCAGGCTGGGTCAAAACAGCAACGAGCGAGCGACAGGAAAGAGCAGGCTATACCAAAGAGCGGATATCTTAATCCTTTAACCACTTACCTTTTTTTTGGCAATGAATTGAACAAAAAACGCCAATTTTTCTTTTATAATAATTTTGATTTTATAGGTTTTGTTTCAACAAAATATGCATGTACAACATATTTTATTCATTTATTCGGGCAAATCAAGAAGGAAACACGAGTCGCCCGTGTCTCATGCGGGCAAGTTCGTTTTGGGAAGGACAATGTCAGAGACGGGCAAATCACGAAAGCGGTTAATCCTCGAGGGGAGCGTTGTCCTTTGGCTGCCCTGCTCGGCTACGTTCCCATGATGTTTAATCATCGGTTTCACAGCAGTTACTCGGCTTAAACGATGAAATACAAGCGGAAGTAAAGTTGCTAAATGGATCTTTGCGTGGCTGCATGTAGAGAAAGTATGCCGTGTTAACCGACTGTCTGTGTTAACTGGGTCCGTGTTGACACGGTGTTGACCGTGATTGTTCCTGCAAAAGACGTTGTATTTCGAAAGAAAAATCCATTCTGCTCTCATCGTCAAATCATTGTAGTTGGTCACGTTAATGGGAATCAACGAATCGGGATGTTCGTTACAATCACGAAACGACCGTTGTAATCCATGCATGAGAACAACATAAAGCAAATACCTCCTTGAAAGAGATGAGACTTTATTGCTTGAAAAAAAATTTGGCGACAACTTTTCAGCTCCTTCGAAGGAACGAAGGTGTCCGAAGCTGAAGGAGGCGGACACGATGAACGACTTCCACCCTGGTGGTAATCAGATTCCTGATACGATGGAGGACGAATGCATGGACGAGTGCACCGAGAGCTTCGAGTGCAGAGACTATGGTATCTGCTGCCGCAATCAGTGCGGAGGAAACTTCTGCTATTACGGACTCTGATCATCTTTTTATCTCATGTGGATGAGTAAGGATGAATGCACGGACGAGAGGCGAGCCTACAGCGTCTGCTCCCCCCAATCGGTGCGGGATCTACTATTGCGATGACGGACTCTCCACAAAATATCATCTATTATTTCTTTGAAAAGCAATACGTGATTTTACTTTTTTAATAAAAGTGTGCACAAATTATGCGATATAAAGAGGACTCTTGTTTTGTGCGAAGTGATCACTGATCAGAAGGTTTCCTTGCGGAACTCAAAGCCGAAAGTGTCACATTTGACTCGAAGGATTCTGCCCAGGGCAGGAGGCCCGCAGAAGAACACTGTCACGCGCCCTTTCCTCTGCTCTGCGATCTGCTGAAATACCTTGGTCCAATTCGGACGCCCGGCCAGAGTCCTCGTCTTTAACCCCGTGATCAGGTCCCTCTTTTCCTACAAAAGAAAATGGCATTGTCAAGCGAGATTCTCAAATTAAGAAATCATTTGAAACTAAATATTGTGGAATGTAGTGTTGGGAATGAAACTTGAAAAACACTCCTAACCAAAATTGGCAAAAGATCAAATTGTGAAACCGAAGGGATTCATTTAAGATTGCCAGTTAAAGCTAAAAATTCAAAGCGAAGGCATTCAGTAAAAAAAAAAAACACCTTAAACCATAAAGAAAATGAAGCAGAACGAAGGATAGGAGCAAGTTTGTGTTTACGCCTACACCATATATGGTAGCCCTTAACGAGGGAGATATTAATGATATCAGACCTTGCGATGGAGGAGGTCGAGCGCAAGCTGAAGGCCAACAGCTTTCATATCGGTGACCTGGAGAGCGGAAGTTATGTACATATGCATTTCCAGGAAACGTTCCAACGTCCCACCCAACTCTGCCTGCTCCATTTCCAGTTGGGACAGAAGTTCCACGAACCACTCGAAACTCCGCTGTTCTCGATTGATCCAGAAAAAGTCCACCTGCAATAACCATGGGAAACCTTGGAGTGATGGACGAGAGGAGAAGGAAGGGATGGGAGGGAACGGACGAAAAACCATTACCTTCCTCAGATTCATCACGGAATTGGGGATAGATCCGGCCCAGGAGTGATGACAATTGGGACACGTATGCTTAGCATGCCAATATCGGATCATGATGCTTTGGAGAATGGAGGCGAAAGGAGTGACACCGATCCCAGTCCCGATCAAGACTGCGTGCTGAGCTCGGAAAATATGACTGCTCGGCGCCCCAAATGGCCCATCCAGAGAGATCTGTCACGATAAATAATTCCCTCTTTCATCCTTCCGTATCTTCGCCGAGGCCTCCATTACGCCCTACCTTGATTGGCCTCCCAAGAGGAAGATGGAAACGTTTTCCCGCGTTCCCCATGGACGCGGGTTCCTCCGCAGAAGGCATTTGGATATCTCTTTCTTCTCCAGATTCATCCTGCAGATCCTCATATTCTTCGACAACTTGAGGGATTCCCAGAGAGACGATCGTCGGCTTGTTCCTCATGTATCTGAAGCTCCTTTCTAGGCCTCCCTTGGTCGGATCTAAATGAGTCTTGAATCCCTCCTCTTGTCCCCTTCCCATGTCGGAATCCTTGAAACGTCTCTCCGAACGAGACCACTTCCCTTCCCGCAGACTTCCAAGAGAATACATAATGTCAGAGATGGGGATTTTAAAAAAAGCCTTGAAAAAAAAGGGACGATGGACCAAGACCTACAGGAGGAGACGTTGCCTCTTGCGTATATTCAACTGTACGTCAGGCATCGATCGTGTTCGAATCGCTTTCGAGAAGAATGGTCGACCGATCCGACGTAGATTCTCCGAGGAATTACCATTTCCTTCACTATCCACTACAAGCTTCACGCTCTTCCCCTTCCCTTTCCCCTTCGTTGTCGTCTTAGCAGTTTTCACACCTTCTTCCGTCTCCCCTAAGTGTGTAAGCATATAAGACACAACTGGAATTCATCCCTGTTCCACAACCCTTAAGCATCCTGATGTTGCTGATGATTCCCCACGATTGGGAAGATTACCTTTAATGGAAGTGAGGCCATTTCCGTCTATTCCAGCCTTATCTTCCTCTTTGACACCCGTAGCCAACGATGAGGATTTATCCAGGAACCCTTGATTCTTGATGATCATATTGGCTTCGTTTTCTTGCTTGCTTCGACTCAATTTCCTATGTACCAATGGAGAGAGAGGAAGCGAGCTGATATAGTTTATCAGACTTTCTCCCTGTACAGCTGCGGTTCCCAACTTATGAGTAGCGGCCTACTCCCAGGTCGCTCTGAGGTTTGGTTTGGTTTCCCTAGGGTCTTCTCTAAACTAATTTTATTCTTGGTCATGTACGTTTTTTTCACCTGTATTCTCTTCACTCAACAACCTTCCATAAGGGTCACGGAGTCTTGATTGCGCAATATATGGACAAAAACGATGGGAACCGCTGCTATAGAGTATCTACCGATGAGATGCGATGGGATTAATCACCGTTTGATGGAAAGGATGAAATTTTCTTCTTTCTTCCCCTCGCATTCGATGCAGACAGACACGGAAGGCTCCGTGGGGTCGTTCATCCTGGACAGGCGCTGATGCTCGCTTTCAAAATATTCGTACAGGCGGTTCGTCCATTCCCCTACTCCACGCACGTGCAGCCACACTTCTCCTATAGAAGAGGAAAAGAAAATGATTTTCAAAGACAAATTAGTCAGATTGTGCAACAGCATACATGTATATTCATGCCAGAAATAAAATCATAAACGCAGAGTCCACAACTGTTGTATCTTCAAAGGTTGCAAGAATGTATTAAATGTATTGTATGGTCGACTACAACTGGTAACGCCATATTGTAGACAGGGTCGGACTGGCCCACCGGAATACCCAGAAATTTCCCGGAGGGGGGGGGGGGGGGGGGGGGGGGGGGGTAGTCCGACCCTGTCTACAATATGGCGTTACCAGTTGTAGTCGACCATACAATACATTTAATACATTCTTGCAACCTTTGAAGATACAACAGTTGTGGACTCTGCGTTTATGATTTTATTGCTGTCATAATTTTCAACCAATAACAACTATATGTCAACATCGAATGATGTGTCGTTTTTAATCCATCCCTGAAAATTTCTCATGAAGGGTAAACCTACCTAATTCTGTGCTAGTCGCAGCTATAGCAATTCACAGAGTTTACCATGAATGCCTGTTAGATAGCAGCACTATGGGCTTTCATAAATTATGCATCTTTATAATAAATACTAAATTTAGTTAGTATGCATCACTTAAGCATAGTTTCATTTTCACCAAAGTCTTAGTATCACAGAATTGGGTAGGTTTACCCTATATTCTTGGGAGGCGGGGAGGGGGATATGGGGACAATTATCAGCAATTTTCCCGGGGATCGCCAGTCCGACCCTGATTGTAGATGAAATTAATTAGGCAAAATGCAATATCCTTATAAATTTTCGTGTAGTGTACTTCAAGTACTCCTCCCATGGACTTCTGTGCACGTTATGCCAATGAACCTTATGGTTCGAATAAATCCAAATAGTCACAAACCGTCGAACCGAATTCGACAAGCAAGACACCATCGAACTTGTAATCTCTTGGTGGAGTGCCTCAAGGTCTCCAGCCTCAAGGCCTGAGCTTCCATTAGCAACCATGTAAAAAAAATTACCCTAATGGAGTACTGGAACAATCTGAACAAACTCGTTAGGTATGAACTCGCTCATCAAACAATTAGAACCTTTTCGTGTGTCATGTCTCGTGCAACACAACTCGAGACGATTTTTAAAAAAAACCGAACAAACTAGATAGTCAGAGCATTGGGAGCCACAGGAACAACGGAAAGAGAATTACGGAAAGTAGATCTAACGTTCATCTATTATAAGGCCCATCACAGTCGGTGCCATGCATAAAGAGAAATTATGTCACCAGAACTCTGAAATCCACGATGATTCGCATATCGACTGTCCCAACGCTTCAGACCTGAGGAACGCACATCTCAGGTGGAGAGACTTCCTCAGCCAGTTCTGAGTAAGTCTTTAATGGAGGAGAATACGAAAAGGAGCGAAGAAAGCTTTATCCAAACGTGGATGAAAAGTCGTCTCCCTCCGTCCTCGTTTATTCGCCTAAGCTGGGTGCTACGTACCTTCTTGTTCCGGCGCACTGCTGATGGTGAACGGGTGCCATTCGTACTTGGCAATGTCGGGGATGTTCACGTACACGTAATCCCCCGGGTGAAAGTAAAACTGAGCCGGCCTCTTTATCACCAGATGCGTCACCTGTCGATCATCATCGTCATTGAAATTCACTCCTCGTAGACAGAAACCTTTGCAATGCGGCAGAAAAGACATCTACTTTGGAAGGGAGTAGCACGGCGGATCGAATGTAGGTTCTTCCGTGGCCGTTCCGAAGCCGGTAAATCCGGAGGGACCGTTCGGCAGCGTATAAAACCAGGGGAAGAATGAACCATTTCCAAAAATTGGGTCCATGGATCAGAAGAAGGAGACAGTAGACAAGTCCCAGGAGATGAGTCCAATAGAACACCTAGGGCAAATGAAAGCATGTGTGCAGTACGAATACTTCAAATGAGAACATGCAGAGAATGATAATCCCAAAAGAAGCTTCAATTTCAATTTCTTGGTTCTTTCATTATTAGGCTTGGTTGTACCTTACAATGAAATCCAATGAGTCACGGTAATGTCATACACAGTAAAGTGTCCTAGAGTACATCCTTAGCTGGAATCGTTGTTACCAATGAAACTTCCGATCCTCACAACTCACGGTCACACTCGCGCTGGAACAGCAATATCGATATGCTTCCTTCGTTCTGCAATGTCTCTCAGATTAGTTTCGTCTGTAGGAGTCCAGGGGCCTTTTTCACGAAACTTCTTTAACTTTTCTTTAACTTTATTTCGGCTATATTTCGACTTTATCTCGACTCAAAATAAAGAAAAAATAAAGACACCTTTGGAGGTCTCTCAATCTCGACTTTAACCTCTCTGAGGGCTACGGAAACCCTGCCCACCTGTGTGTATTCTTGATAACATGCCCCAAGCGATGAATGTGCATTCCTCCTGCCACTTGTGGCTTACTCCTCTCCGTGTTAACAAGACCATGGCTGCATCCGAAGTAGATTAAGCCTCCGTCGAAGCAGCCCTTTCTCATGAAGAGCTGGCTTTATCAGGGAACCTTCACATGCTACTACTTCCTGAGGCCTCGTGATTTAGACTCTCACGGAGCCTCATCTTGGATATCTGTGCCCTAGTCCAGGTGAAAATACAAAGGGGTACTGCCCGTTGTGGAGCACTACCAATCCAGCTTGTAGAGTGTGGATCTGCGATTCCTAGCCACAGGTTCCATCTATTCCATGCTCGGGAATGGCCAGGCCTTTCCATTCCTACCATATTTCGGTGCATCCATTCCGTTTGAGGCCATCTCTGAAAACAAAGAAGTTCGTTGTGTTCCCTGCATCAAGAGAAGATCTCGTCAGCCTGAAGAATGGCTTCTTGCAAGCATTCAACTTCCCAAACGTGAAACGTCCCATCGATGGGACATATGTCCCGATCGTGGCACCAAAAGACAATGAACACGTATATGCGAATCGTAATGGATTCCACTCCTTCAACGTTCAGACACTAGACAGCATGTCTCTGATAATGTTGCCATGGAAACTAAGGAGGCTTCGTGAAATGGATTTTGAGTTGAGATAAAGTAAAGATAAAGTAAAGTTAAAGAAAAGTTAAAGAAGTTTCGTGAAAAAGACCCCAGGTGCCGTTCTCAGAAGGGAAGAGGGGCGCGGTGTAAAGCCTGGATCATTAGAGAGATGCATAAGTGGACAGTTTGAGAACCCCTGCCCTATCCCTTCCTCCACTTAGTTAGGCTTTCCTAGTGGCCTGGGGAGGGAGGGAGCTGCATTTCATCGCTGGACAACATTCTGGGAATACGTGACATTGGCAGCCAGTTTGCTTCATCCTGATACTGCATTTGTCCGCTGCTTGCAAAGCCTGTTGCCAGCTTTCCTATGGTCGTCGAAGACTATAGCCAATTTTTTTTTTAGCCCTTAAATTTCAGGGATAGACATGGTAGGTCCCACATGCCGTTGGCGGCCCAAATGCCAACATTTTGAGGTCCAAGTTTCTCATCAGGTTGGACAACAACAAAAAACCACGGCGTTTTAAGCGCTTATGCGGAAGAAGTGGGAGCTTGAATCCGTTGATGAATAACGACTCTGAATACACCCACTCAGGGTCGAAGTCAGTCGGTAGAAAAGAAAGGTCAATAAATGTTTCGCCATGTTGAATGCGCATTAAGTTTTCGCACTCCTGCCTTAAATCATATGACTTTTTTTCCATCATCCGGACCAAGAGCGTTTCTTCAGAGGCTATGCATGCAGGGACCATAGGCATCAGTATTTGCACCCGCATGCCTGTAAGTTGTGGACATATCCATTCCTAAACAGGACTGTCTAGAACATGCTGGGATCCTACCTCAATGGTGTCGTGTATCTCTCTTGGTTAGTATTTGTTTTGCCTCATACTTAGAAATGTAAATATAAATTAATTATTTTGGACTGAAGGGTATGTGGTGTATCCGCACTTTATCCAGGTTATTAAAATGACCTAGAAAACCATGATCGTCAATCACGGTACAGCCTCCTTGTGTACGAGTTTACGGCAGCCCCGTTTTTTGTGGAAGTGCAACATTTCATGATGACAAAAAGGAAACAATAGCTGGTATTTTGAGTACAACGTCTTTCTGGAAAATTTGAAGAATGTTTCTTGGGAGTAGAAAAAATAGGAAGTACAGGAGGAATTATTCACCCAAATCCTCCTGTCAAGACTGAGTGCATGCCATGCAGAAACAGAATTGGCTTGCTGCACATGGTTAGGGTTTTCAAAAAGTTATAAGATGTCCATACTTAGGGCATTACCAGCGCTAGTATTTCAAGAAGCAGTGACATATTCGGCTTTTTTTTTTATTTCTCTGGAAATAATGATTATCATGTAGGCGCAGCGGTGAGTTAAGTGCGGTCTTGACTTTCTACTTGATTAAACTTTTTCTTAGGATGCTCTGACAAAATTATTGACCATCGCTGGTACCGAGTGACCATTCACTCACTGCTTTGCATGAACAATTAGTATTAATATTATTAAAAAATTAGTAGAGTGCCAAGGCGACACTCGTGATGCTTCGAAAATATTACCGCTTCTCTAACAGAGTGAATACTACCTAGAAGAGGGAAACCGTAGCTTCTTAATAACCCATTCTTTTGAGGCATAAATACAACTAACAACTACCCTGTATAACCCCCCTCCCCCCAGGAGGAGAAAATGATGGTAATTGAGGATGAGGATTCATGTAATGATGCGGTTACGACACTTCACAGTCTTTGAGGAAAGCTCTGTTCGAAGTCAATCTGTTAGATTTGAATAGATTTTGAATAGTATTTGAATAAATGAGGCGCCTCAGCCTTAAAAGAAACATAGTAATGGAAATGAAATGTATTAATTTGAACTCTGAAAGTATTCATCGTAAAAGTTTTACATTTTACTGAAAAATCTGGTACCATCGTTTGGGAGAGGGAAGAAAGGGACTCACATGAACGAGAAATAGGACATGGTATAATCCTCTCGGAGACAAACGGGATGCAGGTTCCAATCTAAGAAACGGAAATCACATGAAGAGATGAAGGAGGACTGAGGAATCGTGATCGTGATCGTGATCGTGGTCGTGGTCGTGGTCGTGGTCGTGGTCGTGCTGATGATGGTCTAGCCTCCGTGACCGTCCCGTCCCTATGTAATCTTTTCTTTCTCCTCCCCTCCCCTCCTCTCTATAGAGAAGGGAAAGGAAACCGACTGACCTATTCCTCGTCCTACCTGCTCATGCTAAACGCCATCCCATTCCATTCCTTTCCTCCCCCTCCAAAGCAAGTCGAACTTACCTCGTTAGGACTGGTATCCAGGATTTACCTGTAACGGGCATGATTTGTGAAAGAATATCTGGGCTCCTTGCAATTTACATATACGAAATTCTCAATTTATTGGAAATGACATTCCACGCATAATTTTTCGTAGGTCTATCCTAAATACCTCTTTGAGGTTGTTAATTAATAATTGTGAAAATTCAAAGGGAAATCGCTATTGTTCCTGCGTTTTTATGGTCAAAGGGAGCTCGCTGTTGTTTCGCTGCACTCCCTTCTCCGGCGTTGGACTAGATCAGAGTTTCAGTAGGTGGGTGCATGTCCAGGATTACAATGACTTTTGGATCTGGGTTTTGATCTAAGCAGCCATGGTAGCATGAATTTGGACGGGATTATGTGCTGTTGGACGTGAATCTATTCACATTCTTATCATCTGCTGTCTTACGAGAGGGACGGCGAGGAGGAAAGACGTGGGAGGAAGATGAAAGAGGGGCATGAAGGAAAGAATGAGGATCTGAATAAGAATGCTGGATAGTGATATCGTTCACAGCGCCAGCTGCGTGCTGTCCATGCAGCTCTCTGAAACAGGACAGGGTGAAAGTACTGAAGAGGGAGATTCTCCTTGACTCGGTCGTGATCCCCCGTCACGGCTTGGGCTTTCTGATTGCCGGGGAATAAAACCATTCTTAACAACAAACACCCACTAGAAAACAAGGTCAGGACCGGCAATTCCGGTTTTTATTTTCAAGCTACTTATAGAGAAATTTCCGTCTAGTGGAGCGCCCGCCTCGCGCCTTTCAAATGTACGGAAATTTCACTTGCAGTACGCGTATATCCCAGACTCGACTTAAACAAAGGAAGAGAGGTGAAAGAGTGAAAGGAGAAATAGGAGGGAAAATATTCCTGGAATCCTAGTAGGGAAGGGAAGTGTCCGAAAGCATGATAAAGATTCTTGAAGTGAGAAATTATTCCAGTAATTCCTACCGGAGATACCAGGGAGAAAGGGAGTTTCACGACAACGGGATCAAAGAACGCGATGGTTTACTGTCCACCCTCCTTGCTCTTTGAAACTGACCTTTTGCCCTGGTGTTGATAGTGTAGAGAGGATGACGATGACGCAAGGACCCTCTCACGACCCACAGTAATTGTTCCATATATTCTCCTCCTATCCCCCCCCCCCTCCCCCCCTCTTTCTTCGTACGGACCTATTTCTTTGCTATCTTGTCACTTCTTCCTTAATTTCGGAAGGAGGTCATACGGAAACACAATGGCCTTGATCTTCATGGACTGTGGCTTCATCAGATAACGGATCTGGTTTTAAAGATATGCCTCCACGGAGGCAACTAGGAAAAATGTTATTTAATTGTCTTTTCCTTCTCTCCACCTCAGTCCGGAGTATAATCATATGGGATAGCCTGCATTGAGTGGTTGACCCCAAAGATTCAGGATGAGAAAGGCCAGACCCAAAGGTATGAAGATTAAAAATCTCTTCCGTGAGAAGAGTTTCAACATCTTCCTTCTTCGGTCTCCATTCTTCCATTCATTCATTCACGCATCCCTCTGATGAAATAATGTTGAAGGAAGAATGATGTTGCAAATCCCTATTTGCTGTTCGTGTGGAATATGGAGAAACTTTCCCACACTTGCACTTCCTGTCTTGCACCTAAAGAGAGAAAGAGACAGAGGGTCCCCCCCCCCCCCCCCCCCCCCCCCCCCCCCCCCACNCTTTAACTCCTTGTCTCAGTAGTCACATTCATGCAAAGTTTCAGCTTTCTATGTTCATCAGTTTTACTAATGCAAAAAAATTACTTGAAAACATCTCCCTTTGAAATTTGTGCCCCCGTGGCATTTACTTCTAAATTCGGAAATTTTCTGCAGCATCTCGATAGGTAGTTATGTACCAAGTTTCATCTTTCCACACTAGCTCAATACGCCAGGTAAAAAAAAAAATACTTGAAAACGTCGGCTCACAAAAATATGCCCCCAGGGCATGGATCTATAATTTTTCCTTTTTCCTGAACTCATCGTTTCGGTAGTCACGTCCATGCCAAGTTTCAGCTTTCCATGTCTCTCCGTTTTACTCAAGCAAAAATAATGTTATGGTAGGGGAATGAGAAACGGGACATGGAAGGCAAAAAAAGCCACAAGAAAGACGGGATGAATGGCCTGGGATTGAACCCTGACCCTCTGATTGCCAGTCAGATATGACACTACTACACCACCGAACCCAGCACATCCAGTTGACTCTTTGAATGCTGCAGAAAATTTCCGAATTTAGAAGTAAATGCCACGGGGGCACAAATTTCAAAGGGAGATGTTTTCAAGTAATTTTTTTGCATTAGTAAAACTGATGAACATAGAAAGCTGAAACTTTCCACGAATGTGACTACTGAGACAAGGAGTTAAAGGAAAATGTTAAATCTCGATACATCCCTTGGGAAATTTTTCGAGGGGCGATGTTTAAATAAACAATTTCGTCCTTGCGAATTGGACAGAAATGAAAAGGTGAAACTTGGCACACGTATCATTGACATAATATTATTGAGTTGAGGGAGTATTCAGCATTCATGGTGCATCCCCTCCGGGCATAGCTTTTGGGCGGGTTGGCTTTTCCAAGCAAGTTTTTCCACCAGCGAAAAGGGCAGACGTAAAAGGTTGAGACTTTGTGGGCATGTAGTTCTCTGAGGATTGATTTTGGTAATTAAAAAAATGTACTTTCGGTTAACACTCCCGAGGGCACATATTTTGCAAGAAGCTTTTTTTCTCAATTAAGCAAAACAGAGGGCGCTAGAAAGTTTATAATTGGAAAAGAAGAACCTGATGGATATCTGAGTAAATGAAAAATGCTACTTTTATTATTTATAGAGGATCGTGAGAAGCTGACCGCTTGACACAAGTCGCTAATCGTATCCTGAGTTCAGGAAAAATTCTATTTTGGTGATACATGCTATAGAGGAACATGTTTCCAAATGGTTCTCTTTGCTTCAATCAAACGGAGACACATGGAAAGCTGAAACCTGGCAAGATCGTGACTGCTGACGCACTGAGCTCAGGAAAAATGCCAAATTTCCACAATTTTGGAATTTCAGGCGGGGATATTTCTTGGGGACGTTATATTTTAAAATAATTTTTCATATCCTAGCGAATCGGGCAGAAATAGAAAAGTAACAGCTGCCGTACGCATAACGGACGTGATGTTGATGTAGAGAAAAATTCAAATTTTCCTGTGCGTCTCCTCAGAGCACAGCTTTTGGAGGAGTCGCTTTTCTAAATATATATTTTTTTTTACCTCCAGTAACAAGGGGAAACGTATAAGGCTGAAAAGCTGGGTGGCATGGAGTTCCCTGAGTCTACATTTCAGAAGAAAAAAAAATTTCGTTAACACCGATCAGGGCCCTTTTCAAAGTCCCATTTTCCTGAATTATTTTTTGATCCAACGAAACAGGGACGGAAAATTAAATTTTTTTTAAAGTACCTTTTTGATGGCTATGTACAGGAAAAATCCTACATTCGAAATTTGTCCCTTAAGGGTAGTTTAGAGGAGGGAAGTATTTCAAAATGTATTCTTCACCCTTACAAAGTGGGGCATATGAAAAGATTTCAAGTTAGGCACACTAGAAATAATAGAAGTAATGATTTTGATTTTTAAAAAATCAAGAATTTCGTCCCCGTATGTCACGTTTTTCAATGGGGACGTAATTTAGATATGTGTTTCCCAATTTGAAAATATATATATGAATTAATCACTAACCAAGGTAATGGAGCGCCGAAGGCGCAACCATAGCGAGTTTGTTGTGCCCGAAGGGCAAACAAACTCGCTAGTACTGAATAGTGCTTGATAGGTGTTCCATGCAGAGCCATCTGTTGAGAGTGGAGGAAAGCTGCAGCTTATTTCATAATAGGCCAGGTTTCGCCATAGATGTAGCTTAGTCTGACTACCTTGGCACTGCTCCCATTATAGCTCCCCTCTGTTCGCGTGGAGCTTTTTTTTCCCTTTCTATTTCCTCTCCTTTCGTCAGTGTACTATTTTTTTTTTTTTGCTTCGTCCCCTGGAGGGATGAAACGGTTTCTTCATCGCCCGCTTCTCATCCTTGTTCTCGTCCTCGTCCATTCCCAGGGAAAACTTCATGTGGCAGTTAATTCCTTCTGGAATCCTTCTTCGGGCCTTGAGGGAAACTCAAGAGATCCCCTCAATCAGTATGATTGAAGAACTATAAAAGTATGGGATTTATGGAAAGCCTATCTGTGATAGAACTGCTAGTGCTACCCCACAAAGCAGTCAAAACAGTGATCTCTTACAGAGAAAGCCGACAGTCAGTTCCAAGCAGCAGTTAGTCCTAGAGAATTGTCATAACAGCCATGTGACGAGACATGAATGAGAAAGCCAAAGGCGGCCGCCAAGTCAATTTATTATTGCAGTGTTAGTAGTCAGTTTTCGTTTATTGCCCCTCATTTTCCGAGGACGATGAGAACACGGTCATTATCCAAGGATGTAGGGACGAGCTGATGTTCCACCCTTGTTCCATTGCATGTGATCACCTGAAGTAAGGACGATAAGGGTGTCGAGGGTCGATTCGTCCTGGTTGAGGAAAATTCCTCACAGGGATCCAGGCACTACCATCATATGTCGGCTCCCCTTCTACTCTCCCTGAATAATTCGGACTGAAATATGGCCTAGGTGTCACATGGAACGGAATCGCTTGATTAAAAATAGGGGAATTCGCCGGTGGTAATCCCTGGGTTCGGAGAAAGTCAAGGTCAAGTTCGGTTGGAGGACGAACCGTGGTGTAATAGGGACCTCTGGATGGTCCCAGGTAGCTGTTTGGATTACTCTGGATCTGGTTAACCACATTCAAGAGGTAACCGGACCCCGTTCCGTATGAGGGTAATCGGGTAGATGGTAACGGTCGGATGGATGCCGGGCCCCCTACATTACTGGATGTCAAAGGACGGACTCCCACCGGAACAGATGGGGGTTGGGAGGGTTGGGACAAGATCGGAGTAGTAGGGGAGCCTTCGAAATTTGGAGTGTTGTAGTGTGTCCCCATGACCATGTCCAGGAGGTCCCGAGTCCTGTGGAGATTTCCATGCCCAGGGTTTGTGGCTAGGAAGTTCGTCGACGCCGATCCAGTCGCCGTCCCCGTCCTCTCACTTTCTCCTCCGTGCCTCTCTCTGATCTCCGTCCTTGAATCTGTTTTCATGATTAGAAAGGAAAAACTTATTTGTTTTTATAAGGGGCTTCAGAATAAGTATTAGGTTCTATGCTGTAGGTTTGTACACAGAAAAGAAAAGAAAATGGGGTTCAGATGGGACGTATGCAATGTTCTTTACATGTTGTGCGTATCTTTGAAGAATTTATTTTGAAGCATTAGCTCTTAATTACTAAAAGAAAAAGAAGAAGCGTGCCATGTTCTTTGTGGAGGTCCATGTTCCCTCGGTAGTTCGTGGCGTTTTTAAACACATTCTCTGTCTAACGTTAAGAGGGCAATTAATGCAGCATTGCCAGACTTTTTCAAGAAAAATCTCGTATTTTCAATTTTAATAAGGTTTTGAATAAAAATGTGCTTACATGGCTTCTGCCGTGAGCCGCAGTAAGTATAGTAGCATTGAGTACTGCTAAGTGGAAATTCCAACCAGTCAGGTACGCCATCGCTAGGTCGCGCGTTGCGTATACCGTATGTGCCAGAATAAACTAACTAGAATGAGAGAAGAGCTGTGGAAGCACGACTGAGTTGGTGGTGGTGGTAGTGGTGGTGGCGGCGGCGGCAGCAGCAGCAGCAGCAGCAGCGACGGCGACTGGCGCTGTCGCGGTGGTAGGACCGGCCTTTATGCGACTTGTGAGTGCTTGAAGGACCACAGGTTTGATTGCTTGATCCCCTGGATTATCTTTCGAGGATCGATAGGCGTGGTGAGTGATGCGAACTCCTTCCGTGGTCATCATCGCTATTCCTGCATGCCATGAACAGATTACTCCTCATTCTTTCACTTGAAACAACCGGTCCTTCGGGCTAGTCCTAACCTTTCCTTTCCGCCTTTCATGACGGAGTGACGCAATCGACAATTATCTACCAAACTAATCCACTGTCCCCTCTAGTGTCTAACAACCTGTCCTACTCCTTCTCCCGAAATTCCCATCCTACTTCATAAAGGCTATCTTCTGTACTTTAAAAGCAAATAAATTCGTCCTACGGTAAACTGTAAGTACCGTATTTCATATGGCCTTCAAGTACGCAGTGGATATATAGTTTTTTTTTATGTAACGTAACGTGAAGCATTCATCAGAGCAGTTGGTATGGACCTGGGACCTTGCAACAATTCAACTCCTACCAGATTGGATTCAATTCCATTATAGTTGGGTCGCAATTCCGTCAGCCAACTCCTTTTCTGAATGCTTACATATGTTTACATTGCATGTTGGTTACATTTCGGGCTCACCTGAGATGAAGAGGAGAAACTTGAAAGATGCCATCATATATGAATGTTCCTGTTACGGGTGCGGCTTCACTTACCATTGACTAGATTCATTCAAAAAGGAACTCGGAGTGTTGCACTAAGTCCTGGAACAGAAGAATGAAATGGTTTTTTTCGTGGATGAGGGAGGGTGGAATTTCGATGACTCAACGATTCCTTGCTTTCCTTTCTAAGTTATTTACACTCGACACGTTCTCTAAAACGATTTTTGGCGCCCTTGTTCTCAAAAGAACTGAAATGGGCGAAGTTCACGATGAATAGAAGGGCCGGAGATCGCCGATTTCGGGTTGGCACTGCTGAACGAAAAAGGAGGGGGAAGAGAACTGGTTGAAGTGTCGCACACTCGCTCACATTCGCCATATTTTGTATCTCCTCCATCTGTATTCACTGTGTAGGGAGGGACCCACGGGAGCACTGGAGAAAGGTTTGTGCTAGAGAATCTCTTATATGTAGGTTGAATAAATCCTGTACGGATTCCCCCCGGATCTCCACCTTATTGTCCTCGTATCGCTTCACACGAATTCGAGAATGACCATTCATTTCATCGTCTCTCTCTATCTTGAATAAGACCGGTTAATCCTTGACCGTGTCTATCTTTCTCCAGTTAAATTTGTCCCCACCCGGCGACTATCCCTCTGCCCTGCTCTCGCTCTGCTTGTTGTGATGATTTCCGTTGATAAGTTCTCTTGCATACTTCTACATTCTCAGCGCTCAGATTTTCCTTCCACCTATATAATTCAGTATTTCAATGACCCACTTTTTTTCGCTCGGCAATGGATCCGAATGTAAAGTAGTCTTCTCTGCATTACCACGCATTTACTCACTGATTCTAATTATACCGATAGCGATAAGTATACTTTTTTTTTAAGTGGAGAAGTTGGTATGAAATGAATAACACGGTTTGTGGGACGGGGATGAACCTCCAAAGGGTGGTAGAGGTGTGAAGGTGGTCCAGAAGAGAACGGTGGGTGTTCTCCCGTTGTTCGTGAGGACTGATAACCTCATCCTCCCGTCTTTTTTTTTCCCTCCTCTCCCTCATCATCTTCCTTTCCCTTTGCCTCCTGTGGATGAAGTCTCCCCCTCTCTCGTGGTTGAATGGGGTCGCAATCACCAGCCGAGGGGCAGCTACCCCGTCACCACTAAGGTTATCCATAGGTGAGAAGATGGAGATGGGGGGGGGGTTAAAGATTACTTTCAAGGATGTGTAAAACGGGTGATAGTGGGCCCCATGGGGACTTGATGCTGATGGTGAATTGATAAACCATGGGAGTCTCATACTTCATAGATATTTCCCTTATCCTGGCTTCGTTTCTCCGCTCTTGCGTCTTGCTCGTTCACGTTCATGTCCTCAGTTTCTCGTTGCTCCTGCGCGATCGCCTTTGTTGTCCAGATCTTCCTGTACATGATCCCGATCTCGGAATCCTGGTTGGATAGTTAAAGCTGTGGGACCGGTAGCAAGATTCTCCTCAAATAACTGCATGTGTGCCTCCCAACAGTGCGCAATAAAGCAGTGTTTGAAGGTTGACAGGAATGTTTTGAGGAAAGTGATCGTAGGATCGTAGTTGATATCTTGGTGATGCTTCCTATCATTCAAATTATCTATCAAAATATTTTTTGGAACTCATGATTAATCCATGAGGAGCTGGACTGCTTTGTTTGCTCGCAACTTCCATAGAGCCCCATTATAAGTAAATTTTTCGCTTGCTACAATTCCAAAGGCGATGCAAATTGGTTTAAAAGATCGCATTACTACATAGAGATTACTAATATGTAATGAGTGCTAATTCAGGACAAATTTTTTATAATGACATTCATGCTTGAAATATTCAGCTCAAAAATGCATTAATTCATGCTAATTTGCAATTTTGCCCCCAAATCCAAGACCCCTCTTAATAAAACAAACTTTTGAATAAAAACTGGAATTTTTTTTTTCTGCTGAAAATGTTAATCATTGTTGGCGCAAAAAGAAAGATACTAATCGACTAGTAACACTAGTGATATTAGTGATGCTTGGCTGGCTCATAATACTCATGAGACCCGACGTCTAATCCTGTGGGCATCGGGAGAAGATGCTTTCTTTGTAATAATGCATTAATGGAAACGTTAAGGTAAAAAAAACTTTTTTAAAATTCAGTGAATTCAAGTAAACGTGAAAATTTCCAACTTTTTCCCCCTCCAGGCCTGATTCTCATAAGCTCGTATTGTTCAACTTTGCTTTCCTCAGGGGAGAGTGTTTTTTTTTTATTGCAAGCAACAAGGGGAAATTAACTTCATTGACGGGAGTTGGCTCTGTTCGTCAAGTGCCGCTGTACTATACAGTGTAGTCAATGGTCTGGCATCAAGTGTTCGTTCAAATTTAATTTTAAAATTCACGCGTAAACTTAAGACATTTTGTGTTTACATACCTCATAAAATCTGTGAGAATGCCCAAGAGAACTGCTGAAAATTATTGGAGGTTTGTCATCATTTGTGAACACCTCAATTTGTGAATACCCTCAAAGGATTACGGGTATTATTAGAACCAGTGTAGGTACAAACGAAATATTCCAGGACCATCATCAGGGTTTCAATTGAATTGTGACAGTGAAATATGATTAAAATTGAGACGTTATAGTCAACCCTCGATATAGCGCCACCCTCGCAAGCCGCCATCCGCCAATACCTTGCCTTGCACAAACGTGCCGTATTCAACGTGAGTCGTTGAATAAGTCGTCGCCAATCCATGGGATTATAGAAAGAAACTATAGGTGGTCGGGTGCGGAAATTGGCGTATCGCTCCACGTCCATTTTCTCTCCTTTTCCTCTCCTTATTTCTTCCGCTTCATTATCTCTTCTATATTTGCAGTAGAAAAGAGAAGGAAGAATGAAGAAAAAAATCAGACTTCCTTAGGGATGTTTGTTTTTATTGGCGTCGCTTTCCGTATCAACATTATACCATACTCCATTTCCTGTATAACACACTAGTTCCCTATAGGTAAACTTTAAAACTCTATTTAGAATAAACTCCCAGTACGTTTGTAGGAGTGAGATCTTGTCGAAGAACTCTCTGAGCTTGTGGTTCTTCTCTTGAGTGGATCTACATGCCGTCAAAGATTCGCAGGGGTTCTTCTAGGTTTTCCAATATCTTCATTGCTGTTATTGAAAAGGAATGGAAATCAGTAATAAACAGAGAAGAGGGAAAGGTGACACGAGAATATTGAATCCTTACGATCTTTCGGTTTTGGTTGAAAGGCAACTGTCTTGGAATAGGATCTTTTTAATGATACAGGGCTGGGTCTTGTCCTCATCTCTGTCGACCTCAACGACCTCCCCCTGCGTGCCCGTGAGAAATCCTGCATTCATTTCATGCTGCCCTATGCGCTGTAATAAGGAGGGAGAAGGAAGCTAGAGTACCTGCGGATGGGGATGGAGTCGAAAAAGCCCGTCGGGACACCGTCGACATATCGGAAAGAGTAACGAGGGTTCTGGGGTCGGAATGCCCCGTAACGATAGGGAATGCGATACCTTGGTCCCTCGCCGCTATCGTTGAGGCTGATCACCTGAATGCGGGGTCCTCGGGACCTCCTCTTCTGTCTCTCCTTCTCTTCACGTTGCACTTCTTTCAAAAGGGCGTACCTGTTACGGAGGGAATCCAGGAAATGAATGATGGGTGGCATAAGATGAGGCTGACTGGGTGGGTGGCTCACCTGACAAGGGCTCGACTCAGTGCCAAGTCATACTGTCGCTCTCGTTCTCGGTCTGTGACAGTTGCTGTAACGGCTGCAGCCGTCTTTCTTGCCGTTTTGAACTCCTCCTTCTTCCTACTCTCTTCCAGGATCTTCAACACTTCCCCCAAATCAGGATCTCCTCCGATCTCTTCTTTCTCCTTCGCCCAACCTTTCCTTTTTTCTCTTCCTGTCCCCATCTCCTTCCCGACTCCACTTGCCACATCTGTGCATCATCGATTCAATTCATTTGAAGCTGCTTGCTAAAACACTTGGCGAATTCTTTCATTGAATGAAGATGACGACGACCTTTGACGACGGAATCTCCCATGGAATTAGCCCGAAGTAGTGCAGCTTGAACGGCGCCGTCTCGGTGCCGATATCGTGGTTTCCGTCTGAGAGAAGCAGCACCGGGTCCGCCGAGACTTCCCCCCGTGACACTTTCCTTTGCCAGGCCTACGGTATTCGTTGAACCCCCTCCCAACTCAGAATGGGCTGCGTCATCAACCTCGTCTGAATCCAACGCACCCTGAAATTAATCACAAATTCGTTTTACTGTCGTACCGGAATTTCTTAGAAGCGAGATATTATTTTGAGGATGAAGACGAACTTTGCCCGGTCCGAGAGAGATGGTTTTCTGAGATATGTAAACGGGAGCAGCTCCTTGATTCCAACCGTGATTTACTCGTACGGCTGCGAAGCCGAGAGGATTCTCAACACTCCCATTATTCTGACCTGGTAATGGACCTGCGAAGAGTTCCACAGGGGGTGGAGGCTGTCCGCCGCCTCGGAAATGCGTTTGGTCCTTCACCTGTTTTGCCACCAAGTCCGCTATGTAGCGGGCGATCCCATCGCTGAACAGGGACGGGAGGCCTCCAGTGTTAGTGGGCGGAGTCAGGGAAGCAGCGGCACTATCTTCATCACTCTGATCGTATGATGGAGTGGAAGTGGGATAGGGAATGGATTCTCCGTTCTTGAACATGGATGCGAAATGGGAAGAATATCCTCCGTTTCTGTGCATGGATGCGGAAGGGGAAGAATATCCTCCCTCCTCCCCATGAAAGTAGTTATTGGTGGACAGAGGAGACGATGTCGTGGGCGCTGGTCCCTGGTATTGTCTCTCCTCGGCCAACAATAGCAAGATGTCTCTCATCAAATCATCCTCTGTCTCTCTCTCTTCTGATTCCAACGGAGGAGGAGGGGGTTTATCGGGCCCGAGGTCTTCGTAAGAGAGGTACGGAGATTGAAACCGAGTTGGGGTGGAGGCCGAGGGCATGTAAAGGTGTCCTGATCGGGGTCTTAGCCCTTTTCTCTTCTCCATCCTCTTGCCGTCTCCCGGTTCTGTGTATGAATGCCACTCCATGTACAAATCTCGAAAATAACGCTCACAATCTGTCTATATTTCCTCCTGAATCCTGTGTCGAGATATCTCGACATTTTGAGTATCGGTTCTATACCATAAAGCGGAAAATTACAAGCAGAGAGGCAAATAATGGTTTCAAGCCAACCCATGCTCAATTTTCAAAAGAAAGACAACATCGAAAACGGTTTTCAAACTGCCTTCAGAAAACACTTAGTGGAAATTTAAAATAACATGCAAGGTAGTCGGGATCCAGGATATCTCCACAAAAACTATTACTGAACCCTATCAAAGTTTGTCGGCTCCCCCCCCCTCCCTTTCTTGACCACGACTGTATTATTACATGATGTAAGGTGATGTGAACTATTGTTTCACGCTAAATAGATTCTATTCGCTCATTGTTTTGTACACGTAGACGTCTAAGTCCCGTTCCAGTTGTTTTCGACTATCAGGGTCATGACGTGAGTAGGAATACATGAATAGGCAATGAATGCATGAATGACATACGTGCGTGGTTGAGGGCGAGGAGGAAAATGACAAGGAGGACCCTTCGATCACACATGGCTCTTGTGGTAGTGAGGCGAAAAGCAGCAGTCCTCTAGCCTGTAGAGCTGTGAGGGAGGAAGGAAAACAGGATTTAATGAATTTTTCTTGCTCCCGGCTCGGTGCAAGAAAAGGTTTCGCAACCCGAGAGACGTGGACATGGTTGTGTCATCCTTATTCCCCTATTACCATCCGGATGGTGAATACACGACGAGTTTCCCCTTTTTTTCATCTCTACTCCCCAGATCCTTTGGGAGGAAGTGAGGGGAGCCGTTTGCGAGGAGGAACAGCATCTGAAAGCCCTTCAAGGGATTTTCCATGGCCTTTATGGAAACATTCAGGCTTGGGAACACGAAGCCATCGACCAGGTCAAGACCCTCACTCATCAGCACGTCCGGAAATGTGATGCACAGGTATGTGTGTAATTTGTTATCTTGAATGCCATTGGACGTCATGTGTGAAGGGGATTCTATCTGATGGGAATGGGATGAGAAGAGGAGCAAGTTGGCGGATCTGTCGCGGGAGATCTCGACGTTGTTGAGAAGGGCAGAGGAGGCCGTCGACGATCCCACGAATGCTACCCTTAACGCCTGTCAGCTTAGCATTGCTCTCCGTCGATTCTCCCAACTTCCCATCTACCTCGTCCAAGAAAAGGGAAAACTGAAATCTCCCCAATCAAAGGAAGCCGAAGACGTCTCCATGGAGCTCCTCACCATTTACAATAAGAAGCCCCTCATCCAGTCCGTTTCCTTAACTTCCCTACTTTTTAATACTGCTTATAATATATTTTATATCATATTGCTTCAACGCTTTCATAATCTCCATGATCTTATTGTGTGATGGTAATTTTTTGCTTTCATTGAGTTCGTCGTTGCTTTTGTTTCTTGGTTCTTGATCTTGATTCATCATTACTATACAGGGTGTCCCAAAAGGTATGGAAACATTTCAAAAATTAATATCTCTCTAAATTATGCCTCAAATAAAATGATTATTACAGTAAAATGAAGTGCAACTTAAACATTTTTCAACCTGCTATTGCAATTCCACAAGGGCATCATTTGTGATTCTGTAGATGTCTAAGTGATGTTTGAGCTCTTGCCACACCTTTTGCAGTGTTAGGCATAACTATCAGGATATATCAGACGATTCTGTTCTTTGGATCTTGTTCGATTGTCTACTTTTCTCCAGTAAGTGATGTCCTTGACATAGCCCACAAGAAAGTCCTCTATGGTTAGTTCAGGTGATCTTGGCAGCCATGGAATGAACCTGCTTTGTCCAATCCACAGATCTGGTTTTTTTTTTTCCATGCCTTAGCTTGCTAAAATGTGGAGTTGCAACATCTTAGTAAATTACACTTTTATTTTGCCTGAACCCTTCCCTCTTGGATTTTTTTTTCTTGTAGGGGCTATGTCAAGGACATTGTCAACTTTTCTTGAGTAAGCAATTTCCAATCTGATCTGAAGAACAGAATTGGTGCTGCTATCCAGGCAGTTATATGCGACACTGAGTAAATTGTGGTAAGAGCTTGAACATCGTTTGGACATTTACAGGGCCACAAATAGTGCCCATGTGGAATTGCAAGAACAGGTTGAAAAATGCTTGAGTTGCACTTCATTTTACTGTTTTCATCATTTTATTTGAGGTATAACTTAGTGAGATATTAGTTTTTGAAATGTTTGCATACCTTTTGGGACACCCTGTATTTTAGGGCTAGCATAGGTTTACTTGATCTCATATTCATAACAATGTGAGTAAGAAACAGCATTTATTAAAAAATAAAAGAAGGAATTTAAAAAGCCCTTGATGAGATTGAACTAGAAAGCTGTTTAGTATAAAAATAAGCTAAAGCCCTTAGTATAAAATGGAAGAATTGTCATACTGGCAAAAATAAGGAAACTGTAATTCAGGGCATTAAATTGCCTATAAAGATAAAAATGTAAGTGAATATCATTTGCTGATGGATTCACTCAGCATTTTAGCTCTTTCATTCTGATAATGGTTATAGACAACTGAACAAATACAGGGTGTTCCAAAAGCCATCACCCCATTTGTTTTGCCTATAACTTTTGAACCAATGAAAAGAAACACAAACTGTAAATTGCAAATAATATTTTTATTTTATAAAATTATGTTCTGAAAATGATGTCCAACAAATGGCCCCCTTCACTGTGCTGGCAAACTAGCTCTTTCTATGGCATTTTCCATGACCCTTCCCAAAGTTTCTCCAGATAGATTGGCTATTTCGGCTCAGATGTTAACTTTCAGATCTGCCAGGGTTTGTGGTTTGTTGGCGTAAACTTTTCCCTTCAGATACCCCCACAAAAAAAAGTCAGGAGAGTGTGCGGGCCAACTCAAATCTCCATATTTTGAGATTATGCAAATTGGAAAAATCCCTCTCAAAATGGTCATCGTTTCTCAAGCGGTGTGTGCCGTAGCACCATCCTGTTGGAACCACATGTTCTCCAGACCCAACCACTCCAACTCTAGCACCAAAAAGTCTTGGATCGTTGTTCTGTAGTGATCACCATTCACAGTAACAGGGTTTCCTCCTTCATCTTCGAAAAAGTATGACCCAATTACTTTTTCCAGCCATCACACCACACCAAACCATAACTCTTTGTGGGTGCAGAGGTCTAGAGTGGATATTTCTGGGGTTTTCATTTCCCCAGAACCTACAATTCTGCTTATTGACAAAGCCACTTAGCTCAAAATGAGCTTCATCCATCATCATTATTTTTTATGAAAAATACTCTATTTCGGCATCAAGATTTAAGAGCCCACTGCAGTAGGTGAGGTGTGCTTCAGCAGCTTCAGGTTTTAATTCTTGAACCATCTGTATCTTGTAAGGATAAAGATGCAAGTCCTTATGTAATATCTGATGGAGGGACGTTGTTGTGATCCCCAATTGACCAGAATGACTTCTTACAGATGTTTCTGGAGCTTCTCGCACACTTTCGTTCACACGGTCAATACTTTCATTGGACCAACTTGTTCGGGGTCTCCCTTTACATGTCTGATCACTAGTTGATTCTGACTCCTCAAATTGAACAACCAAACATTGAATTGTCTGAGCAGTTGGTGTCCTTTGATTACCATATTGCCTTTGAAATTCTCTTTTTGTAGCAACAATTATGATTGCGACCCGTTGTGTAGGGTGCGGCGTGTAGGGTTCCATTCTAAAATTACTTGAGTTAATCTTTTATTACCTGCAAAAATAAAGCCAATAAAATTAAAATAAAAAAAGTTACAACTACTGCAAGTGGGGTGATGACTTTTGGAATACCCTGTATTAATCTCCCATAGGACTGTTTTGAATGTATAATTGAGTTCTTATTCATTTTAATAAAAATTTTAATTAAACATTAAATTTTAATTTTAATTAAAAATTAAAAATTTTGATTTAAAGATTTCTATTTAAAAATGGTTATATTTCATTACGTTTTTCACTGTCCTGATCACTAATATTTTCTAACTTAAAAAAGAATGAAACTGGAAAAATCCATTTTCCTTTATCATTATAAAGGTGCATGCCACCATAATCACATTTGTTGCCAATCACATTACAAGGTGTATGTAAATTCACAGATGTTTTAAGTTGTCACTGAAGATCATGCTCAAAAGCTTTAATGAAGGTATTTTGGAAATTTTAGGTTTCTAGCATTTATTTTTTAGATTAATAATATTTTATTTAAAGAATGCACAGAAGTATGCTTTACCTCAAATGTCTGACAAGAGGGGTTAAGAGCCAAGTTATTTAGTTGGCAGTAAATGTTTTAAACTGACTGGTGAATCCTGCCTTGAAGATTTTACTTTTAGAGTGACTTGCTTAGAGTGGCACCATTCCATACTGGTATTTTCTATTATAATCCTGAGGTTGAGACCACTGAGCAAAAAATGAGTAGTGTGAGGCAAATCCATCAGCACCTTGATTGTTGAAATTTGCCTGTTGGATGTGGGTCTGTGTGCATTGGATAATTATAGTCAACCCTTGATGTCCTGCTACTCATTATACTGCCACTCTCGCATGTTGCCAGCTCTTTCCTGAGAACAAATCCTCCTCATGAATTTATTATAGGTGATCCCTCAGTATTGCATTGCCCTCACCAGCTACCTTCTGTCAACGCTATTGTAAGGACTTTGCCTTTTCCCCCAATAAATCCTCCTTGATATCCTGGCAAAAAGTTCTGGCTGGAAATATTACTGGTTTTATCTGGTTTTTGATGGACTTTCTCGGCTGGAGGATTGCGTACAGGAAACATAACCGGTTCCAATCAGGAAATAGAGGGTAGGCATTTTCCGACAGGAAAAGCAGAAATCCAGCAGAATACAGCATTGGATCCAGCTGGATCCTGTTGGTTCATTCCAGCTGGAATTGGCATGCCAATTTACAACTAGTTCTGGTTGGAAATGCTGCAGTTCCTGCTGGAAGTGGCACACATTTACTGATGGAAAGCTTGCTGTTTCTAGCAGGAACTTCTTGCCGGGATTGCACCAAGTAGCATATGTGCCATAACTCTTATCCAGCACCAAGCACAGCTAAATATTGTCTCCCACTGTTAGAGGTGACCCATAGCCATGGAATAGCCTTGCATAGGGCAAGTGTAGGGTATTGGAGGAAACTATGGAGGATAGGATGCTATATAAGCTTAACATTCATTTAGTCAATTTTTCCTTCAGAGATTTTGATATTGAAGCCATTGGCATATTTTGGTTCATTCAATTTTGTGCCTCCTGGGTCATTCCGTGTCAAATCAACACGGTGTTAAAAGGTGACCTTCTTTGATTTGAATGAAATTTGGCAGGCTTATTTGTACCTATTATAAAGTGATTCACAGCAATTATTGGGTTCATTTGACTTCTTGTTCCTCAGATATGAGGCCATGAATATTTGGGCTTAAATGCCTTCCAGTCGCGCCCTGAGACAGTCTTCTCTTCATAACTTCTGCCCTAATTGTGCTAGAGACCTCATCTTGGGATTGTTTGAAAGCTCTTCATGTCCTTTCCAGAGATTTGACTAGTTTTTGGCTAAATGCTAAATGTTAATTTTTAGTGAAGAGGTCATGGTAATGACCTTTGACCTCTCATTACAAAAAACAACCATTTTAGATTTTGAAAAAAATTGGCTGGTTTGCAGGCAAGACATGTGGCTACCTCTTTGTTAAATTTTAATTTGGGCTTTCCAGAAGTTCTAGAATAAGAAGTAAAAGTACTGATTGCTACATTAATATTCTTGCACTAATTAATGCCTTTCAGTTGAATGCACTACAAAGAACTGGAAAACAATAAAAAGAAAATATACTAATCGCAAAATCAAGTCAAAAGATCTTCATGGTGGTATATTCTCTATTTCTTGTTCTTGTGAAGACATATTGATGCATCCACCATCTCGTCATTGGACAGTTTGTAAGTACGTCCTGTTTCTGTTGAGGGATTTACGAGTGAAAGGACTTGACTATGATGTACTCTTAGTTCATCAGATTTGTGAGTTTAGAAAAATGAAGGGGCTGGACCATGTGGATGAAGGAAAGAAACAAGAATTTCCTCATTGTCTTCAAATTTCTCAAGAACATATGCAAGATACCAATGTCCTCCATATTCACATGTCACAAACCCTCTCATGTTTAAATATGACATCTCCATTGGAGTGTTGAACTTGACATCTGCAAATGTGCTTGACTTTGAAAATTGTTTCTCTCTGATGATAGAGGAATATAACACTGAAGATTTTTGTGTCCCAGGGATTGGCTGTATGCCTGCAAACCATCTTTGGAGCTTCTGTGTTTCTTTTGATCTCTGTCTCAAGGACAAACTGAAATCTTGTAGTTCTCAGATTATCTATGGCCCACAAAAAGAGATCTTGAGTAGTCTGAATTTGTAGATCATATGGTCTTCAGAGGCTCACTCTTGCAGCTAATCTTTTGACTGTGCCACCCACACCATCACATGGCCTATGCCATGTGATGTGGCAAAAAAGTGCCACTCTGCTGATTCCAAAATCAGCCTCATGAAAGCAGAGGTTGCAGAAATTCTTTTTTATTTTCATACTGGCTAGCTGCACCATCTGAGAAATAGGTAATCTTCTTGATAGGGACAACTGTTGCCTCCTCTTCATACAACAGTGAAATGAGATGCTCCTGGAAGGTATAAACTACAACTGTATCATGTATAAGAGTATTGGATATGATGATAAAGCTCAAGTGTTGCAGTTCATTTCCATCATTCACATCTTTGTGAGGCATCTTAAAATAGCAAGCAGAAGGATGAATTGTAGACTGATTATTATTCCAATGGAATCCTTGTGCAGCATCTTGAAGAACAAAGGAGTAGTTCTCTGCAAAATCTAGAGTAACAATGACTTCTCCCTCAGCAAGGTTTTCCTTTGTCTCCTGAATAAATGAAGATTGCTGCTGGGCAATGAAATCATGTTTTCTCAAGAAAGCCTTTTTAAGTTTAGTCTTTTCAAGGATGTAATCCAGAAACTCATCAACACTTTTGCACCTCAGTGTCCAGAGAAGATCTATCTGTTGACACCTATTGTTTGGAGGTGATGGAGTCCATCATTCTGTCATCAAAGTCTTTTTGGAGCTAAGCATGCACATGCAGCATGCTTAGCTTAGCATGCTTTCATGCATGAAATAAAATAAAGTTTAAAGTAATTATTTTTTACTTTGGATTCAATTGAAATAACACTGTTAAATGCATTCCCATAGGTGCCTAATAATGTTGAATATTCACATTAATCAATTTTACGCAAATGGCCTGATGTTTCCATAAATTACCAAGCGCCCAAGTTAAAATTTGATACAGAGGTAGTCATATGTCTTGTCTACCTTTCATCCAATTCTCATCAAAATTCAAGAGTGTTGTTTTTGACAATGTGAGGTCAAACGTCATCAATATGGAGACCTTACTGAATGGTAACTTTTAGCATTTCTCAAAATGTATCAGTACCAATGGAAAGGACTGGAAAAGAACTTAAAAATGAGCCTAAGATGAGCTCTCTAGCACAATTAGGACCGGAGTTTCAAGGAGAAGACTATATCAGGGTTCGGAATAAGGCATTTCAGCCTCAAATTTTGTGACCTCATACCAAAGGAACCAAAGGTCTAATGAACCCTATATTTTGTGTGAATTAGTTTCTCACCATTGTTGATAGGTATACCAAACATCATCCAAATCTGAGGTGGGTCACCTGAAAAATGTCCTCCAAGTGTGTTGATTTGACATGGAATGACTCTCCTCTGTTGTAGTGCCAAAATCAGCTATGACTAATGGTGTTATATTGAAGGGTGACTGTACTCTTTGATACTTTCAATTCAATGCTAGGTTAGCAATTGTACCCTCAAATATTAACCTTTATCAGACAATTGGGACATTGTGTTGTCCCACAATATGTTTCTCTCTAAAGCCAAGCAGAACACATATACTACTGAAAGTCCCTATATTTTTGTCACAGCCTGTATTTTTCTTTTTAAACCAACTTTCATCTATCCCTTTGTATTAGTTTCTGGGAACTGATAAGGGGTTGCTTGTGAATCAATGAAGGTCATGTGATCTCAACACTGGCTACCAAAACAGTTTTCTTTTAGTGCATCAAACAAATGCTTTTCCAAGTGTGTCATGCTTGCACATGTGTGAAAATTGTAGAAAATTGTCAACAGCTACATCATTTTATGCTCTTCAATTTGGTTTTTGTTTTGTTATGGTAGTTCAAAAAGTGACAAAAATATTAATTTTTTTTGCAGTACTTAACACTTTTTTTGTAAAATCTAATGCTTTGGGGATTAACCCTTTCATGCATGGTATCTACTATAGTGGACAGCAACATTTTTGGCAATGATGATGGTTTTTTAGCCACATACCTTGAAGCTTGTGGTATGTGCAGTCAACTCAAGGGCACATAATCTGTTCAGTTTTGCTTTTTAGTGGTGAAACATGCAACTACTATAGCAGAGTACCTCCTTAAATGTTAAACCAAAAAAGGCATATTTTTGTTTTGCTTGAAAAATTCATATGCGAAATGGTTAAAGGACTCATTTAAATTCCAGCCATCAGGGGAACCAAGTATTTAAAAAGCCCATATGATAAAAGTTTAAATACCTATGCTGCAAGATAAGTCAGTTGGTACTGATACCCTGTTTATAGGCATTCTACAGCAGTTTTTGCACAAGATGTGTGTTTTGGATTGATAAATTTCAGTACTATGCAAGGAGAATACATTATGTTCTCAGAACCTGCTTTGAAGTGAAGACAGTGGGGAAACTGCTCTGTCATTCCTCTTTTCATGTTCAGTCAGATGTGTTGCTGCAGATGATGACCTTTGCCCTGGACCTATACTAGAGCAGGTTTCTATCTCTTCTGTCTATCTCTCCTCTTTTTCATTCTCCTCTCCTTCCTCCAAAGAAACACTTTGCATGGCAAATGGAAACTCTGATTCAGTTTGGTGGGACAAGAGAGAGTAGCAGTCTATGATGTGTCATCATTCAAGTATGACAGTTCCAATCACCTTATATAGAGAAGGAACTGTGGGTTGATGAAAGTTCCAATCAAGCAGTTAAACAATTCACTGGTTTAATATTAAAAAAAATTGTCAATAACTCATTAACAGCACAGAGAACATTTGGAAGCCTTATAATTGTTGTTCATAAACATGGACAGGTATCTGCTCTTGTTCAGTATCAGGAGCAAAATTTTCAGCAGTATTAGGAGCTAAGGAGTCCCCATTATCTATATTGGCTCAACCCAGTGCCTATGAAATTTGTCATGGGCTCATGGCCCTGTTGGTGTGACAAATGCGACCACCCCAATGTTGAGATATGGTTGACCTGCAGTGTAACCCCACCATGAGTCACCAAAGACTTTGGCATTATAATGAGGTGTGTTGCTATGTCTAATTAACCCCATTTCTTATTGTAAGTTTATTGGGAGATTTGTCCTCATGAAGAGTTTGGAAGTAAATGAAGGTGAAAATTGACCAAGTGGTAATGTAACAAGGGTTTTTTTTTGACAGTAGTTGAAACCCTTGATATCATTACAGGCAGACTCCATACATGTAGAACCAAAAATGTATACAGCCTCAATTTTTATTCACTTCTTGAGGTCAACCACCAAGGGCACACTTCAGGATGAAATGTGCCTTACATTTTCCAAAATATATGTTACTGGAAAGTGTTATGAAAGTTGTAACACAGCTTTCTTGTAATGGTAGGGTGCAGCCAAAGTTGAAGAACCTGGAGGCATTGAAGGAATCCTTGCTGACTATCTCCATGGCTCCTGAGAGTGCTAATTCCCCTATGTGCCTCAAATCCCAATCAGATCTTCCCTCCTCAATTGATCTCAATCTCTGCTACACCTTTGATGATGAAAGCTCCATCATAGGTCTCTATTTTCTTTTTAATCCCCTTGTTTGTTTTGTTGAAAGGATACTAGATTTTGGATGTCACATATATGTTCAGATGGGGGAATCTCTAGTGCAGGGTCCCAGTCCTCAATGCTGCAGTTGGATGAAGCAATCCAAGATAACCTGGAAGAGCCCAGTCAATCAAAAAGCACAGAAGTTCCTAAGGGGACTTCCCAGCGTTTGGTTCCAGCCATCCAGTTTCTTCAGAACAGAACCAGTTACACCCTAGAGGGAGCTGAGAGGGGTGCTGGTAGAGGCTTCTTTTTGTGTTTTTTTGTATAACTTAACCCTTTGGCCACCAGGTTTTTTTGGGCCTGGTGCCTGGATATTAAAGTTTGAAAACAAGCATACTTGGGCTTGGCAGCCAAAGGGTTTAATTTGTTTTTCAGAGTACTATAAAGGCATAAATGCATGCATTTATTTGTAGTTTATGAGGAAGCAACAGTAGTGACGCACATCAAGGATCCCAGCTGCTTCTATGTGGTCCGTAAAGAAGATCTTCCTCAACTTGATGCCCTTCAAAAGGCTCTCATCAAGTGGTGTGAGTCTCTTGAGGCTCAAATGCACATCCCTCAAAATGTAGAAATTGGTTTGTTTCTTAATTTTTATCCTTCCTTTGCTATCGTTTTTATATTTGAAATTGGAGTGGATTAATGTTTTATGGTTATTCAGATAAGATGTATGCTGGCAAGTACTCAGCAGACCAGTTGTGGTATCGTGTTCGAGTAAAGAATGTCATCAACACTGCAGAGGGGTGTCAGGCTGCTGAGGTTCTATACATTGACTATGGGAACTCTGAAATCATCCATATCTCTGAGTATGTTTTGGTTTTCCTGCTTCATTAAAAACGATAGTTCCTAAATCAAACTGTCAAAGAATTGTCTTTTCAGAATGAGAGTGATCCCCCGAAAGTTTGTGCGAGACCCAGACCATGCAGTCTGCTGCACCTTGCATGGAATAGAACCTCCAAATTGTGGACAATGGTCAGAGGATTCCATCCGCACATTTGCTCTACTTCTTGACAAGCATGGTTTTGGGTTAGTCTTTCTTGGCTTGTTTTCCTCATTGAAGTGAGAAATTGTTAGACCCCTACACGTTGTTTGGCTAATGGTACGGTTTGTGCATGGATGCAGGTATGAGCCACTGACCATGGTTGTGCTTGGGAAGAAGGGAGACTTGCATGAAGTGGATCTCCTCAGACCACTGGGGAATGAGAGCATCAAAAACGAATGTCCTATATCAGTTGCAGAGACCTTGACCTTCCTTGGGATGGCCCTCTTTCGTGGCACTGATCCTCTTTCTCTTCTTGGACAGGTCTCCTCTATCACCTGCCTCTCTCTTTGTTTGACATGATAAAAGGGATGCAAATTCATGTGATGATTAATGGAGGTAGGAAGGAGCAGGAATGAGCAGAAGGAAGACAATGAAGCGCAAGTTTCCTGATCCACAACTCCCTTTAAAAGAGACTCAGGTAGATGTGATTGTGTCTCATGTGGAAACTCCTGTATCCTTCTATGTCCAAATAGTATGTTTCATTCCCTCTTTGTCTTGCACCTTTATATTTATTAGTGTTGAGATGGGATTTATTTTCATCTGATCTTCCAGGTTGGCCAAAACCTCCACAACTTCACAAATGTCATGGATAAGCTTCAAACAGAGTATATCAAGAGGTCAGGAGACAAGTGGATTGTATGGAACCCCAAGAAAGGTTTTTCCCATAGCATAATTTTCCCTTTAACTGTGAATGGCCTATGTTAACATTTTGCAATTCTTGCTTTTGCCCCAAAGGGATGGTTTGTGCAGCTGAATACATCATGGACCACCAGTGGTATCGTGTCAATGTTGATGGGACTCCAGGCCGGCAGATGGTCGATGTTTTTTATGTTGACTTTGGCAACAGGTATATTTCATCATTCATAAGAAATTTCTGCATCAGATGTACAGGATGGCCACAAAGTCCCTTTGCATGAAAAAAAAAGAGATAATGTACCTTTATTTGAACAGCTCCATGTGTTGCCCTCCATTCTCAGCACACAGCTGGATTTGTGCCCAAGTTCTTCTTGACATATTCTCCTAAGTGGAAGTTGCATCCTGTAAAAGCAGTTCCAGACAGCTGTTTTGAGTTCCTCAATATTTGTCAGTCTTAAGTGTGAAGTATTCTCCTTCATAAGATCCCCTTGAATGTCTGGTTCTTAGAAACCCCACCTGGAAATACAGTATAAAAAAAAAAGGGAAAAAAAAAGAATAATATTTAATGCAAAGGGACTTTATGGCCACCCTGTTGGATCAACTGGGGTAAATATGATGTGCAATAATTTGAATAAAAATAATATTCAGGTACTGTCATTGCTATCATCATTGCTATCCTGTGGTGCCCTTTTTGTTTTGCCAACATTCTTTTGAAAGTGCCCTTTCATAAGCCCCTTCATGTGCCCCAAAAACTATTTGCTGATGAAATTTTTTCCCAGTTTGGTTCATTCACTACAGATATATGGAGTAAATTGGCACTCTTGAACCTCTGGTAACTGACATGGTTTTTGGACCAGCTAAGCCTTTTTTAGGGGATTAAAATGGAGAGTCATACATGGGGGAAAAATTAGACACTTTTGAACTTTTTTTTGTCACAGGTTTACCTTATTAATTAAAAAGAAGAAGAAAAATGCAATGATAAAAAACCTTTAGAATGTCTTACGGTCAATGCTTTCTATTACAAATTTCAAGGAAGGGGCATGACTAATCAAATGTGTGGCTTATCAATCATCTGTGCATGCGTGAAGGTGATGCGTATATCAATACAATTAAAACCATGTTCTCACTCCATTATTGACTTGTTATGAAACAGAACTGGCATTAAAATGTAGCATTTTCATTGTAAAGACTTGTTGTTGGTGATTGGTACAAGAAAACAACTTCATTACAAGGTTTTGTAATATTGTAAATATTGTAAGCATGTAAACATTGTAAATACATAATATTGTAAAATTACCACTTCCCTGTACAAGTAGGTCTTTTTAAGTAAACATGCGATGACATTGTCTTCAAACTAAGAAAATTGCATGGTGCAGGGTTACCTACATTATAGGATTATAGTCTCTTATTGACTTGGCCTACCCATGTAATATATTGAGTGTGAGAACCTCTGCTGATTTACTTATATTGTAGATGCAAAAATTTTCATCTGTTGCTGTCTGGTTTATATTTTATCACATTGTAAGCATCTTAAGCCAGATACAAAACACTGTCCAGTGATTATTTAGCAATTTCAGAGTTTACAGAAGCTTTGACACATGCAAGAAGGAAACCAAAAAAGTATAATTTGTTTGCTGACTGCTGCAAATACATTTCCATGTGTCTCACCTGTCTTACATTGTCTTTGTTTTTCCTAATAGTCTGGATAGCAGTGAGGGAGGCCTAGACAAAAGCATTGATCACAAACTTATATTGGAAGCCCTCTTTCCAACTAGAAACCCAGCAAATTGAGAAATATTCAAGTACCAAAATGTTAAACAGAAAGTTGAAAGCAATGACTGCAGCTACAATTGTTTTTGAAGCTCTCATAATTAATCTTGTATGCAATATTTGACATTTTCATTCTGATGTTGGTCATTTTTGCAAAGGGAGCGGATTCATGTAGACAGCTTGAGACAACTTAGTGATGGTTTCCTGAGTCTCCCAAGGCAGGCCATTCACTGCCGTCTGGCAGATATCTCCTCCTCAAGAGGTCCCCGCCAGGGAGCCATCTTCTCAATTGAAGACAGTCAGGCTTTTGCCTCTATGGTAGAAGGCAAGCGTTGTCGTGTGAGTCCCCATCACTGTCGTCTTGATTGTCTTTGCTAATGACTCCAGGATTCCAAGGCCTTTTTTTTTTTTTTTTTGATGTTTGTGGATGAATGGACTAAGCAATCTGACGGACATGTGCAGCTGACTGTGACTTTATATGAGAGCACCCCTCAGAAGGACATCTGCCTGAATGCCAAGCTTGTCAATGAGGGTCATGCTCGAAGCACTGGCCCTGCGTATGTAGCATTCTTCTGTTTTGATTCCCTGGCAGAAACAAGTTTTCCTTGTATTTCTTTGTACAGTATTAACAGCAGCAAGACAACATGGTTGAAGAGCAAAGACAATAATGTATTGTCCTACTCCTAAAGAGACTAAGAGTAGCCAGCCCCCTAGTTAAAAGCAGATTATGCATTGAAGTACAAAATAAAGAGCAGACTAGTGAGATGGATTTGCAGAAAGAGATGAGGCATGCAAAGCAATAGCAGCAATATATGCAATGTCAGGGGATCCATGGAGGTCCAAAGAGATCCAAACGCGTTGTAGGTATTGTTATGATTGCATTGCATATGTGACAAACATATTGTAGAAGAAAAGTTCAGAGCTCAGAAACATAAATACTTGCAAAATGACACGAAATGATGGTGAAAATGTGAGATTAAGCATTGTTTCCCAAACTTCTTTGAATTGTGACCCACTTGCCAACTTATAAAGCCTGTTATGACACACTACCATTCAAAACAATGACTTTTCAATTGAGTTCTCATTAGTGCTTGAATTGAAATTTTCTTCCTTGGGAGGCTGACTGGTAATAGTTTCTCTTTTATAGTCTCTCCTCCAAAAAAGTGCTTAGTTAGGATAGGGAGGAAGGGGGATGTTCTGAGCAAAATCATGAGCTTTCTGTCAATCTTGTGCCTATCCTATTTTGGCCAATCAGTGAAATTCTTCTGTTTTGCATGAATTGATATCCACATGAAAATTTCATGGAATTTTAATGCCTCATACAGTTTATTTTATTTTTTTAAGTTCCAGTCTTGTGAGACATGCACTTGCTAGTCCTTTCAGATTTGTATTGAGAAAAAAATGGGCCCAAATTTTACTTCTGTGACTTCCTCAGAAATTTATTTTCTCTTCTGTAATATTACAGGCAGAAAGACAGATAGATAGATGTTCCTTATCTATGTTAAGGGTAGATCAGCCATTCTGTAGTATTACAATGGAAGTAAACACATTTCCAAGTGGCTATGGAAGTGAGATTTCCAGTGTAATGCTGCTAGATATCAGGCTTTACTTCTTTTGTTTTTACAGTGCAATTGATTTGAGGTGACCTGCCTTTATGTGTGTATTATACTTTTTTTCTGATAGGAGGTTTCTCATGACCTACCTTGAAGCCTCTTACATTCCAGTTTGGGAACTGCTGACTTGAAGGACCTTTGAATCACTTAATCTTGTGATCCTGTTTATGCAATACTAATGCAATATGAGTTTTGGACGTTCAGATTTCTTTTTTGCCAAATTTAAACAGATATAGTATGGAATATGGTATCCATATCATAATGGGAGTTGAAAGAGACTCTGCTTTTGGGAGTTCAGAAGTCAGAAGCATGGGTGTGGGAAAAGGTTGGGCTTGTTGCATTCTGTTCTCTATTATATACAGTTTTTCCTTTTTTGGATTGTGACATTCATACTGGTTAAGACATGCTCATACAGTATGAAAATTACCACTTTTCCCTGCTAAAGTGCAAATTATTTCTTGGAAATACTAGTGGTTTTGTGCAATAAATATACTATGTAAAAAATGCACAGTTTTGCCTGCATAATTACATTAACATGCCTAGATAAGCATCCCCTTTTTTTAAAAGACTTCTTTAAAAGCTTATAGCAAAAGCAAAAAATGGAGTTAGTCACTACTCAAGGATGTCTATACTAGCTTGTGAAGTAAAAAAAAAATTTTCTTGGGTCTGTCAATTTTTACCTCATGCCACAAGAAATCATTTTGTAAAAACTACTCTTTGTATTTTCCCTGAAAGAAAATGCATTCAATGAAGGATAAGTTTTACTGTTTAAGGTAAAACCACCTATGTTCTGACAGTTAAGTTGGGCTAGCCCCGTAATTTACTCATCATGCCTAAATGCTATAAGCTGGATACTTTATTTTTTGTGTTTGGAGCACAATGTATGTATGAGGGTTGTAAAGATGTCTTTCAAAGCTGTATAGCTTCTCCCTAAAAAGTAAAACCCTTCATTGAATGCATTGTCTTTCAGGAAAGTACATGAGCAAAAACAAGAGTTGTTTTTGCAAAATGATATATTGTGGCATGAGGTAAAAATTGACAGTTGCAAGTAAATTATTTTACTTACTGCAACTAAATATTGGTACTGGCACTGTTGGTTACACTTCTCCTGAAGTATGCCTAAGTAATAAACATAACTTGAGTGCATATGATAATTCTGTGAACCATAACTTTCCTCTGTAACTCAAGCCATCTTTCATTAACACATTGGCGACAATGCGTCCTGATGCCAGGATGCAGATTTTTTTTCAATGAATACCCTCTGGAACTGTTGAGAACATTCCAGAAGATTATGATTTCATAATTACTGATAAAAATTCCAAAAAATTCAACATTTTAAAAAAACTTGGCAAAAAAAATGTTTTCTGGGACCATGCGTCCTGATGGCAGGACGCATTTTTTGACAAAAAAAATGCACGTGGTCCCACGCGGCGGACAAGCAAAAATAGGCTGGTTGTCAACGTGTTAATCATTGTATTACCCATTTTGAGACACACCACCAAGTTTACTGGTAATTATATCTGATCCCATGCTTGAAGTGAAAGCAGTCTTTAGTAATGCATTTCCCATCAAAGTAAACTTCACACTCTGTATTGTTCTCTGTCAGATAAATGATTGTGGACTTTGTTGTATAGAAAGGGATTGAATTGGTGACTGGTATGACAGTGTGGGATATCAGTAACACAGACATTTTGTTGTGTTTATTTAGTCTGTTTTGGAATCAAAGCTCAGTCATGTGCTGTTCCAAAGGTGTCAAAAAACTGAAAAAATAGAAAAAACCAAAGGTATCAAATGCAATTCTTGAGTTTGTGTCTTGTCACCTCTCTCTCCCCCACCTCAGTCTTTGGTGGGGGTCACAACATAATGGTGTGGGTGCCCCTGCTGCTTTGCTCACTCACCTTTTCCTTTGATAAAAGAGAGGAGTCAGTTTTACTGAATTACTGTAGTACTGGAGTTTTAACTTTTCTGAGCACTGCAGAGTCCTTATACTCTCATTGCAAAGAAAAATATCAGCACCATGAAGGAGTTGAGTGTACTGGATGAAATTGGTACACAAGCTCGTAGCAATGTGTCATGAAATAATTGAGAGTTTCAAGGGTAGGAGATAAAATTACAAGAGAAAAACTTGCCAACTGATGGAGGAGTGGGGGAAAAGGGTGCACCACCATAACACCAGTTTCCTTTTTATTTTACCTTTAGCCCCTTTGGTTTTTGGCCATTGTTGAGTGTCTAATGGTTAAGCCATGCATGGGCAAAATCTCTGTTGGTAGTTTCACCTACTTGTTCAAGTGTTTTATGGATGAACATTGATTGGGATGCTTATTATGCATCAAGCTGATTCATGAATACCAATTAGCTCATGATGTCTTTTGGGTAAAATGAGTACCAAATAGAGAGCTTGTTGAAGAATCCTAGCTGCTCCATTGAAATGACAGACTAGTGGAAAAACTCACTCATGTGCCCTTTCAGGTTTGCAGCCAAAGTTTTATTAATTGTTTTCATCCCAGCCAAAACCATATGGTGCCATCTTACAATCATGAGTCTTAATAATTGCTGGTTTTGGGAGATTATTGTGCTTGAAAACTTCACCTATAATAGCTTACATTTTTCTTGGTCAGACTGTTCATTGGTATGGATGTCATTTCATTTCTTTCCATCATCATACAAGAACTTGTGCTTGGAGTGCTGAAAGCCATAGCTAGTTCTTGCTAAAGGAACTATGCTCTAGCCAAGATAGCATGCAGGCCTCTAGTTACCTTCCACAAATCTTGACATATACACTAAGGTGCAAAAGTCTTTGCCCCTAGCATTAGCCAACTTTCTGGAAGCATATCTCTGGAAATTTCTGGAGAGATTTTTCGAGAACTTTCTAGAAGATGAGGAAAGGTCTATATGTAGCTGTGAAAACTGCTAATTGTCATAAACACTCTTGAGTTGGGAGAAAATGCCTGGACAAGAAAATTCTACTTCGCTGAAAACGAAGTGATCAACTGTTTTACACTTCTGGAACAACGGCCATTGATCTGCCATAATTGCTCATCGAACGAAGATCCCCATTCAGACTGTCAAGTACAATATTGCCAAGATTGAACAAGGCACCGTGGAGAACAGACGCTGTAGTGGCTGACCCCACAAGATCACTGCTGCTGACAACAAGGCCAGTGGATTCGATGAAACTGTGAGACAACAACAAAAGAACTGGCACAAAAGTTGCTTCAGGACCGAGGTCAGCATGTGTCCCAATGTACAGTACAATGCCAGCTCACACAGAAGGGCTACAAGAGTACTTTGCCCCATGCAATGCCAATGTTGACACAGAAGCACAAAGATGCACATGCCCAGTGGGCAATTCAACACAAGAACAACAATTGGAGCTGAATGGTACTCACCAATGAGACTTGCTACCAATTATTCAGAAACACGATTCATTGATGGTCAAAGAATCCAAGAGGCGAGTTCAAGTGAATCCTGAACAGACAGAAGATTATGGTTTGGGGCAGCTTCTGTGTCATGGGCCTGGTTGGCTGTCATTCATTTGAGAGAATTATGGATGACCCTTACTATGTTCAAATCCTTCAAGATCACCTCCTCTGTAGTGCCAGAAGGCAGTTCGGTTGACGTTGGTGACTGCAGCAAGACAACATTCCCAAACACAGAAGTCGAGTGGCGAAGCAGTTCCTACTTGAAGTACCTGAAGTGATCAACTGACTGTCAAACAGTCCCAACGTCAATCCAATCAAGAACCTCTGGTTGATCCTCAAGCACCATGTCAAGAAACAGAAACCATCAAATCTCAACGAACTGGACAGATTTCTGCATGAGGAATGGGACAGAATCAACTTGGCCACTCAAAATCATTTGGTCAAGTCAATGAAAGTGTGATGTTTGGCTTTGATTGACTCGAAAGGATAGAGGATCAAGTATTAATTGTGATACTTTTGTACCTTGTCCCATGCCTTATCTGTGAATAAAATTGGTTTTGATATATCCACCCGGAGAAATGCTTGAAATCTTGGGGCAAAGACTTTTGCACCTTAGTGTATATAAAAAATCATAAGTGTGAGGAATATTTGTGTTTCATGTCAGTGATGATGTCATAATTTCAAACAGCAGTGAAAGTAAAGAAACATATAACAGGATGATAGGCTTATATTTTGTAGGAGTTACTTGGACAGTGAATATTGTCCTGTTATCCTGAATATTGGCATGTTACTCTGGAACCAATTGTGTTGAAGTTTACATGAAACTAAAAAGTCAGTCACAGCATCAGTAAAGAGCACTTTTGAACTAAGCATGGGTTGAGATGATGCTGCCACAAGTGGATGAGCTCCAATATGGAATATCACTGTAATGATTGAATGATTTCTTGAGACATGAAAAGTCAATGCTCACAGAATTATCATATACACAAGGTAACAGTTTGAAACTAATTTGCTGAAATGCTTATTTTGCCATTTATTTGGCAAAGGCAATTAGCTTAGACCTGAACTTCATCTGTTTTCCACTTCATATTTATTCACCATTGATATGAGGTGAAGATTTCAGGAAAAGAGCTGATGCTTTTGAGTGCTAACTACCAATAGGCCTCTGATTTACTGGGATGTAAAACACTTATTAACTATACCTTTGAAGGTCCCAGTGTGTAGAGTATCCAAAGGTGGAAGTGGTGCCTGTGAGGGGTCCAAGGTCAATCAAGTCAGGGAAGGGAAAATTGTTTCGTCATGTAGATGAAAAATACCAGCAAAAATGGAACCACCTTCACCACCAAAAAGCTCATCATCCTATCTTGGTTCACCAAGGATCTTCTGTCCCTTTCATGCAGGTCTCCACATTCTCTTCTTTCATCTTCTCTGAGTGTTTCACTATTGCATTAATCATTGGAACTCAACCTGAAAAATTAATGGATTGAATTGAAATAATAGGAAACAGAGCTCTTGTCAATACCTGTGGTTGAGGAGCTTCCTCGCTTGGAGACATTGATTCCTGAGGTAGAGGAGAATCCTCCAACCCCTCCCCAGAAGCAGGCTGTCCTGGCAATAAAACAAGGACGGCATGGAAGCAAGAAGAAGAAAAGTGACAAGGTCAATGTCACTCTGGCCCATTTTCTCTCTCCATCAGAATTTTACATCCATCTCATCTCACATGATCTCCCTGAGAAGCTCTCCAAGCTCATGTGCATTTTGCAAGAGACATTTCAAGGTGGAAAGAAGAGCATGATGATAATGAAGGGAATGGCCTGGAGTCCTGGAGATGTATGTGCTGCCCGTTCTTCCAAGTCGCAGAATTGGCATCGAGGACTCATCCTTGAAGTCAAGGACAATGAATCTAATGAACCCATGGCCTCTGTGAAGATGGTAGACTTTGGATTTAAGGAGGATGTACCCTTGAGGAATCTGTGTCCCCTTCCTGAACATCTGTGCCTGGAGGAGAACTTCTCAGTGCGGTGTCACCTAGCTGATGTGATTCCAGCTGGTGGGACAGCACAATGGTCAGCATCTGCACGGGAGTCCCTGCGGGAAATATTGGAGAGTGAACCAAATATATATGTGTCCAAAATGGGAGAGAAAAATGAGGAAGGGTCCCTACCAGTAGACATTTATTTGAGAACAGCTGGAGAAGTGGGTGCTCTGGATCCTGTGCTCTATGAATATCGCTCTGTCTCTACAGTGCTCAAGGAGAAGGGCCTAGCCTTACCCAGGTATCATTCCTCTAAGCATCCCTCATGTCTTTTGTCCTGATGTGAATATGACTCCTTTCCTATAAACCTATATAAAGTACAGTAGAGAATCAGGGAGACCCACAAATGCTCTACATTTTTTTGAGAAGGTAGCAATTGCTATAGGAATTGAGAAAATCCACATGTAGCACAAGGCATTGAAAAATGTTACCTTCAGTCACTCTGAATACAGACAACATATAATAGAACAAGATCTTTCAGATGAGAATTACCCTATAAAAAGTCAACTATTCTTTATCATTTTTTTTTTTACATATGGTGAATGTCAAGAAATTTTTCTCATCATGGGCCATATCCTGAATACTTTTGTGTGTTGCTGTTTTGAAAGACCTACTAGTTTGTTCTGACATAGCTCTAAAGAATCAGAAATTACAGAACCTATTATTCCCTGTATGCTAATGGCAATTTTGCCCAATCCATCTTCTTGGCCATTCTACAAATTAATCAACCTGAGGACTATAAGGATGTGAGAGAAAACCTGACATATTTCAGGTAATAAATAATTATGAATCCTTGCTGATTTCATGCTATAACTACTCAAGACAATGCACTGACATGCAGCCACTTATCTTCAGGAATAAGGAAGTGCTCCAAAAATAAATCTGGAATTTTAATTTTGTAACTTTTAACTGTGACTAACTTAAGCTATATTATTGTTTTGACAGCTGATGCCCCTCTTTGGATGTGGCATGATGACTGTAACTAATGTGCCCCAATCAGCAAATATTTTCAGGAAAGGGTTGCATATGCCATTATGTTAGTGAAAGAAGAAAAAGGTTTTGCTAAGTTTCCCAAACTGTGTGATACTATGCTGAAGTTTTGCTGGCAAAGGTGCTTTCTGGTGCTTTTTCATGTGATGCACTTATGAGCTCAGAAGAGCTTCAGAGTTTCATGAACTATGTGGTAGTGAAATGGCTCTCTTGAGGTAACAGACTCACATATGGGATTATTGGTTGGCAATTTTGTTATTGGAGTTTTAAGGAGAGGTTAATAACTAAGCTTGGATGTTCTCATGGGCAAAATAAAAGGAAGCAAACCTTTGCTTCCTTTTATATAATGAAGCTGTCATGGACCAGCCTAAAGCATTATCATTCTGGGGGATAGGGGCCTCTTAGGTTGGCAGTACAGAGGTTGTGCTAGTGAATGTAAGCTTTTGGGAAATGACTCCTGGGGGGGTTGAAAATGGGTCAGGTTGTGGAAATTTGAGTCACAAGGAACATTAGTCACATACCTGTGCTGATTCTTCCAACTATGTTGGGCTGTAAGCTTGAAAAAATTAAAACTCTATCTCTGATACCCTTTATTGAAAAATTTTCAAAGCAGAGAGGAAACTCCTCAGGAATGGAATTCTCCTCAGACAACCCACACAAGCACCAGCAGCAGATGCTGATAAAATAGTATCCTTTTGATCATATCCTGAAATGAGAGGTTGAACTTAAATGTGGTGCATATTGCATATATCTTGTGGCCAATCCCTGCTTTCACAACCTTTCCACAAACAGGTAGTACATTAATTATACCACCATGTTTCAATACATTAAAGGTGGTGGTACAATTTCTGTACCACTGACCATGAAAGAGTTAAATCTTTATAGGATTTTGGATTCTGGATTTACTCCCATCACCCTGCAATTATACTGTGGTTAAGAAATAAAGGCCATGGGATGTTCCACCTCCATGGCCATGGATCCTGAGACCTTTGAGGCTACACAGGTGAAAAATATTGCATAACTCCCTCAGCTTCTCTAGTCACCTGTATTACTACAGTTCCTTCCGATCAAAATTCTTGGATACTTCCTAAGGAAGGAGCCAGTAAGCTTGATTCATTGGGTTAGAGCAGTAAATTCCATGGTTTTGCTTCTATTTGCTAGAGGGTTGTATGAATTTTTATGCATAATCTGCATATGCCCACATGAAAATAAGCTCTGCAAACATGTATGTACTGCATATTTTTTAAAATATAATTTGTCAGTCCTATAGATTTTCTCCCTTGCTTATAGCACAAGTCCAGTTAAATACTTTATTGCTGCTCTCAAAAAAAGTATCAGGAGGATTATATACATTATACATTTTTTTTGTAATGGAATGTATGTTGAGGCCATTTGTTGATCATTCAGGCAAACACACTTTGATTTTACTACCCAACAATAAATGGAAGAGTCGTGGGATTGAAAGAGAGGGATGGATGCATTGCTCCCATCTGAGTTGGGGGAGGGGACGGGGTAGGTGGATTTAGAGAAGGTGATCTATGATGGCCAAGTAACCTTTTTCTGGTAGAGAATATTTATATCCTGAGATGCAAGGTGGTTTTTTCAATTGCTTCAATCACTTGCTCAGAAAAAAAGCATAATAAATGGGGGGCTGCACTGTTGTATTGGCCACCAGTATGGCACCATCAGCAGGTTTGCAAGCTGCCAGTGCTGATGTCCAAAGAAGAATGTGCAGAACAGCAAAAAAAAAAGACTACATGAACAGGGCTTATTAACTGATTCTCAACAGCAATACAGGGTGTCCCATAAGTCACTATACCACTTCAAAAGATCATATCAATTCAACAGTTGGCACAAAAAGATGTAGCATTAACTGTATGATAGCAAGTCATTTGGAATTTATAAAAAAAAATTAGATATATTTATGAGTTTCAAAAGTGCCTCAAAATGCCCTCAGCCTATATCAATGCATCTGGCATAAGGCTCAGCACCAAAAAATCGCCAAAACTCCCTTTCAACTCTGATGGGACTCTCATAGACCTCCATCCAGGTGGCAACTTTTCTTTGTTCCTCCAGCATCATTTGTGAAGCCTTTTTCTCATGAATATTTATTTTCGTTTATCAAGTCTATCTGAAATTAAGAGAAAAGCATGAAGTTTAACAATTTTGTAATAGTGGATTCAACAAGGTTTACTATAAATTGCCCTAAACAAGTACACCTTTCTAGTATGCATTTAAAGCAATTTCCATTTTGAGTCTGATTTCAAGTCATTATCGTGAAAAAATTTTTAAAGAATGTCCTTTCTATCCATGCTAACAACAGTGATGTGCGTGTTTCAGTTTGGAAAATATTGCAATTTGTCATGGTATAGTGACTTATGGGACACCCTGTAGGAAAAAATTAAGGCTTTCCCGATCCATTCATCATTGTATGGATGTCATTTTTTATAGTTGGAGGTATGGTAGGCTTTATTTCCCATTGTGCAGGTCACACCTCCTCCCTGCACTCCCCAATTGCAAGCAAGAGATAATGGAAGATGGATAGAGGTCTGCACCCTGATTGAGGCATTTCTGCCTGATCATGCAAGAAAAGACTGAATTCACCACCACCTCCCAAGTGCATCAATGCACTATTGATATTTCAGGTCCTTGATACATGAATGATTTCTTAACACCCAGCATGACAGCCAAAATAAAATTGAACAAGGCTTCTTAATGGGTTAATTTGAATGGTTAATGGGTTAATTTGAATAATAAAGAAATTGGTAAAATGGTTCTTCACTGTTTCTCTACATGTCACAAGCACCAGCACTGGCCAATAGGTATGAGATCCTTACTGATGTTCCAGTGTACAGCCCAAATAATGAACCAATATTTTAGTGTATCAGTGCCACCCATGTCAAATGAGTGCAGAACTTCAACTCAGGGTTTCAGTACAAGAATGGCTTCTGAGAATTGAAAAATTAGATCACATAGAGGTTGGTAATTGAAACAGGTTGGAAAGCATTCTTTAACCTTTAACCCATGAAAGAAAATGTAAACTTATTTCAAGCATTATTTCCTTTCCTGGAATTTTTTAGAGCAAAAAATGTCAGCTGTCTCCCAGCACCATTGTGCTGAGCAGAGAGCACTTCTACACCATGATTTTCTGGTGAGGGGTTGAACTGCTGATGTTTCATGTGTGTGAGGCAAGATAACCAGAGCCCCAAGACTATACAGACATACAGGGTGGCCCAAATGTTACTTCACACTTTCAAATCCAAAAGTTTACTGATATAAAAATAACATATTAATATAAAAAATTTGTTGCTGCTTACTCAGGTGTGAAATCATAAGGGATCAGTGATATCCTCAAACCTATAACAATGTATACAGAATTTTACATTACAATGAGTATAATTTTTTTATTTTTTATTTTTCACTTAAAAGTGTGATGCCACCCTGTATAGTCACTTCTTGCAGACAGTGTTTATGTTTACTGTGAGCCCTTTACTTTTTAATTATTCTAAGGCATGCAGTAATTAGGTGTGACTTTTTTTTTCAATCACTGAATGAGCAGTTTTCTATTCAAAAGAAGTTCTATTCCATTTTTGTGGTTTAGGTATGGAAATCTTTCCAGATATTGGTGAAAGGTTAACCTGCATAACAGATGAGTGGTTCATGAAAATTGCTTTCCAAGCTTTTATCATTGATAAATTTCAACCAGTTTCCTGATGGTCATGCTACACTTCTTTGGCTGAGGATTTCAGACCTCTCCCATTATCAGTTTAATGAAACTGTTGAATACATGCTTGCATATCATCATGGTTGACTGATTTATGCAAAAAATAAAATGTCATTGCCTGAAGAATGACCTTGATGAGTTGACAATGAACTGGTTACATGTTTTTTTGTCACCCTGTAGGACCAATGTCCTAAGGAAGGAGAGCCGTTCCCGTTCCCATGGTAGGTCCCATTCACAAAAGAGGACTTCCTCATCTCCTAGAAAAGTACCCACTGCCAGTCAGAGTCCATCCAAATGCCTCAACCAAGCTGCATGTCTTTGTCTGAAGGTTTGCATTTTTTGCATCTGCCAGAGTAAAGTTTGGCATAGCTAGGCATATGGCACTTTATTAGTAGACTGATAGGAGGTGCCATCCTGGAATGAGTTAGCTTAGCTATAGAGGATTCTGTGAGTACCACAGAACTAATATAGCCAATAGAGATGGTTGGAGGGGATTGGACAAGATAGGATTTATGTTTGTATGATGTGCTGATTATGGCAGCAAGAAAGGAATTTGTCATTCTGTCTATGGTTTAGAAATATGCCACATTTCAACTCCTTTTTTTATGTTAGTACAGGTTGCCAAGCCAGAATATGGTGTTTGTCTTGCAAGGTGAGAGGTTTCATTACCTGGATGTATGAGGGGCACTCCAAAAGTTCTTGCCAAATGGCATTAAATATTGCCTGATCCTAATGCATATTTTTTTTTTTCTTTTCAGGGATTTAATAAGATTCAATGATTTTTTAAAAATGTTTTACCTATATTGTGACACATAACACAAGGCCAAAAGAGGTCACCCTCCAGGACAGATGACATTGACCCATAGAGATCTGCAAATGCCGATTTGGTATGGTTTCAAAAGGTGTGCCATCCCTTCAAAACCTGTGAAATAGTGTCTTGAAGGTAAAAAAATTGTCTCTGGGTGATCTTGCCACCACACCAATTTTTTAAGTTTCTTTGTTGAACTTATGCAGCATTTCTTGGCATGAATTGACTCTAACCATTTTTTTTCCTCATGTAGGGAATGGGGAGTGGGGTCAACTAAAATGGGTTAACAAGAACATTTTTCCACCCCAGGAATTTCATGCATAATTTTTTTTAAAGGCAGACTCTCCAACCCCAAGGGTCTCCTCTATGACAGCATATGTTGCATTTTGGTCTTCCTTAATTTTTAATGTATAGATTTAAATCTCCCACATAAGTGCTGACTGATTTTTTTTTGTAATTCAAAAACACTTGCTAGCTGAATAGTGCAACTGTTTTAAAAAATAAACTGTTGACAGTGAAGCAATTATTCACTTAATATCAGAGTATTTTTCAAAAAGTTGCAGTACAGCAATATTTTTACCTTTAGGCCATGGAAAATGCATTCTGTGGCACAACAATTGTGCCTTTTGTCCAATAAAGGTTAGTCATGGCTTTCACATCAGCCACATTTGTATCATCACTTCTGAAGTTGGACAAGCCCTTCACAGGGCTTGTCCTCCAGGCTAAAATGTCCACACCTGAACTTTTGAAACCAGTCATTCACAAAGCACATAGATGGGGCAAGATTGGCCAGTTATGATTTAATCTCTCCAAAACTCTGTTTCACAGTTAAGCACCTTTGGAAACCATATCAAATCAACACTTTCAGATCTCTATGGGTCAAGGTCATCTGCCCTGGAGGTGACCTCTTTTGGCTTCTTTCTATGTTTCACCATTTAGCAAAAAATTGTTAAAATATCACTGAATCTTATTGAATCCCTGAAGAACAATGACATCGAAGAACAATGTCAAAAAATATCATTAGGATCAGGCAATATTTCCTGCCATTTGGCAAGAACTTTTGGAGTGCCCCTCAGGAGGGTCTTTGGTCTTGGAGGCCAAAAATCTTCTCAGAGCCCAATTCTGTTTGCCTTGGTTCAAAACTCTAGAGTGAAACTGTAGAGAAATCCACAAAAATCAATCAAATTTTACATTCAGATCAAAGTCTGACAAATATCATATCTCTTGACTAGGATGAAAGTCAAAGAAGAACCAAGAGAAACTCATAACTTCTGCCCACAAATTGCCACCAATATCCACCCTTAGAAATCTCCTGATTGCACCTCCAGGCTTATATCGTATCTCCAATATCAGTGAAATCACTACCAATATCTGTGTCTTTTGATTTTGATAAATTACAACCCTGAAGAATGCCTGCCCAACATTTAATTTAATCACCCTGGGAGTAGGTGGACATTGTAATTCAGGAGTAAGCTTATACTTAACAGTGAAAAAGGCTGTACAAAGTGCTCATTCCAGACTTTGCTTCACTGTAATCTCAGATCTGAAATGCCAACTTAGGCTCTTACCTTGAGGCTAGAGCATCTACACAAAGGAAACCAATGTTTTACTGATTCATGCATTGTAAGAGACCTGACTCCATTATGCTGTGTGTCAGATACATTGAGACCATAGACTATGGAAATATTTATTTAGCCAAAAAACAAAGACAGTTAAAACTGGGATAATGAAGATCAACTCATGGAGATGATATCATAGGTACTTAAAGGAGTGGGTAAGAAACAGGGTTCACTTTTGATTTTTATTAGTTTGCCCAATTGCAATAAGATACAAACTCAAAATTTGGTCTGATCATAACACCACTTCTAATCTTCAAAATCGATCACTCCAAAAGGACATTGATGCCTTGATGTCTAATTTTTTAACCCTTTCAATGTCCAACTCAGACACACTGGAGCTCCTCATGGTGTCCAAAATTTTTTTTTAAATTGGCCACAAGTACTAACTGCACTAAAACTACTGAAGACTTTAAATTAGTGAGGATAAACTAACAAAATTTTCAGGGAAGACTGCCTATTGGACAGGTGATTTATAGAGTGGTTACAAGTGCCATTTTTGGATATTTGTAGATTTGATGCACTGTTATCAAATGCAAACTCTGAATTCTGGATGCATCGTCTAGTACAGCGATTCCCAAACTGTCTACTTCTGTGTACTATTTGCATTGAGAGTGCATATGTAGCATACCATCACTTCTCCCACATTTGCATATCCCACAAAGTGCATGATACATGTACTTTATTGTGCAAGTTTTTACAAATAAATCTGTTTGGAAATCTCTTGCGTACCACCAGTGGTATTTGTACCAGTTTTTGAACCATTCGTCTAGTATGTCAATGGCTTTGAGTACTTCTTGAGGGATTCTGATCAGATTCATTGCTCTCACATTCAGAGGACTGATCACTAACAATAGCAAACTCTTTTCCTGCAGCATTACTAATAACAATGACACTCTTACCACATGACAAGTCTGAAAATGAACCATTCTCAAGCATATGCGGTGTGTTCAAAAAGTTTCTGCAAACATCAAATAAAAACTAAACCATTGTTTTATTTGATACCAAAATTGGAACACAGAAACTTTACACCTCCCTTCGCCCTCAAAATAATCACTATTTGAATCTATGCACTTCTGCCACCTGGAGAGCAATGATCGTATACCCATTCTGTAGTAGCCTGCATCTTGCTATAGCTGGCATTCGAAACGATGCAAGTTATTGTCAATTTTCAGTAGACTGTTGCCAGCCGCCCATCATATAGCCCAGATGTAGCCCACTCCAACTCTCATCAGTTTGACCAGTTGAAGGACCAATTTTGTGGAACACACTTCATTGGTGGTGAAAGTCTTCAAAATTCTGTTAGACTGTGGTGACAAAAACAAGATACAGGCTTCTGCATAATGGGTATACAATTGTTGCCCTCCAGATGGTAGAAGAGCAAAGATTCAAACAGTGATGATTTTGTGGGCTAAGGAATGTGTAATGTTTTTGTGTAAAAAATTTAGTAGCAATGAAAGTGAAAGCAATGGTTTAGCATTTATTTCATGTTTGCAAAACCTTTTTGAACACCTCTCAATCTCAATTTTTTTGCACTTGAGACACCATGCTTGCCACTTCCTAGCATGATGAAAGCATCAATGTCCTACTCCTTGTTTTTTTATTTTTGAATAATGGACAGGAGGATCTTCTTTAGACATTGGTTTTGGCATGCTTCTTCATAAATTGTACCTTTTGACATGAAGGGAACCAGAATGTAAATGGACTCAAAACTGTAAAAATGGTCCAGGTTTGGCTGAAGTCATTAGGTATCAAATTTATGATCAAAGAAAAATAATGCCCCCAACTGCCCTCAGGCCTGACCTATTGAGAATCCTAGGAAGATTTTGTTCAGTTCAAAGGAACTCTGCTCATGAATCTGGACCTCTACTCTCTAACCTTGGAGGTCATCTATTTTTCTGCATAATTGTGGCAAAATAGTTTCCCAGGGTCATTTTCTTGCAAAGTGCTTCTAATGCCATTGTCATGGATGAGACAAAATTTTCACCAAAAGAATTTGAGCATTTTTTCCATGTACATGTCAAACCTGTACTTATAACGAGATGCAATCCTCCACTCTTACCTTCTGGAATCTAAAATCATTCTGTTTGCTCCTTGTGTGCATATACAAAGAGTTTAGATGAACCTCAGTGTAACCTGGAAAACTTGCCACATCTTATTCCAAGTGGAAACTTGTGTAGGCTCAAATTATTTCAATAATCTCTATCCAGCAGAGAAATGAAGAGGATGTGGGCAAGAAGAAAGAGAAAGAGGAAGAGGCTAGGACTTTCTGGCTTAGACAAGAAGACCAAGAGGAAGCTGTTGCAGAAGAGGTAGCTATTAGTCTTCAAGCAAGTTACATTTTCTTTGTCTTCTTGGAATACACAGCATCTCAAGGTTCAAGGCATGATTGTGACTGAGATGATCAATTGATTGCCCAGAGGGAATTGAATCCAGTAGAAGAAATCCTCCTTGGCCAGAAAGATGGTTTTAAAAGGGAGAAAGGAGGAAATGGAACCAATAGTGCAACTGAACAAGATATGATTGTTGGAGAGGAAGGAGAAGAGGAGGTTGGAGTGGAAGGAGAAGAGGAGGTTGGAGTGGAAGGAGAAGAGGAGGTTGGAGTGGAAGGAGAAGAGGAGGTTGGAGAGGAAGGAGAAGAGGAGGAGGAGGGAGGGGATGAAGATGCAGATGAAGGAGAAGAGGAATGGGGAGAGTCTAAAAGAAGAAAGCGAGTTGAGGAACCAGTGAAGATCACCAGATGGAAGAGAATCTTTATACCAGAAGAGAATGAATATGCTGCTCTCCCCACACATGTTGACTATGATGGTGTCATCTATCTTCACAACATCGACAAAGGTTCTTTTCCCTGTCCTTCGACAATATCTCAACATTTCTGTATACCTCTAATACTTTGACCCAAAGTGATCTTAAAGGAGAGGATTTACAGGATGGACATGAAGTTACTTGGGCATTTAAGAAATCATATAAATTAAATGCAAATAGGGTAAAGTCACCAATGTTAGGACAATTAAGCCAGGGTAGGATTGTAATTCTCTTGTCATGCCTCAATGGTACAACCTAGATACTTCATTTTTTGCATCTGGCATCATAATATGAGTAGGTATGAGCATGATAAAGATTATGACCATTGAAGCCTCATGGCTTCCAATAATTCCTATTATGAAGGTGTCTGAACTTTGATGCAAAAAAATTAAGCTTGAACAGTACATAATTTTGACACACCAGAAGTAAGGCAGAAATCTGCTCATGGGATGTGCATTCCCTTGTAGCAGTGCTCTATGTTCCCTAATTTCCTGTGGAGAGAGAACTGATCATAGAATTAACAATACCACATGGGAAGCATTTCTCAAGTAAGGTCATCTCTGTACATTTTTTTAAATTTGTCCTGTCCGTGACATGACATTCATTTCTGTAGATATTTTGAAATTGTGCTTAATGATTGTAGCCACTGCAAGTCTTTCTCTTAGCAACATGGTCATCTTGGGTTAAGAAGAACTCTCTCTGATGTTGATCTCAAAAATGCGTATTTATTAACAATAAACGTTGGAGTGTCCAAACTAAGGTGGTTTTACTCTAATTATCTTCATTCTGGAAATTGTATTTGCAGGAAATTCTTAGTTTTTTTTTGCATTTGTTTTGGATTGAGGAAAGCTTGACTTAACTGTTCTGACCTTGAATGAACAAGTTAATGTGTTCATACAGCACAAGTCTCCAGTGACTCATGCAGCATGGTGTATACCTATAGGCATTTTGGCCCCTTAGTGAACATGTTAAAATGATTGAGATGATGGCCAGTTTGAAGCACCAGCAGCTACCAATGATCAATTTCAGACATATTTCCAAAAATCGCTATCAAGTAAAAATGCAAAAAGAGCACTTTTCCAGGAGTCCAAGATCACTGGGTCAGTAACAGACATGAAGCACAGTTGCATCAGTTGTCGAAGAAAAAGTGCAAGAGATGCAGTAAGAGTTTGTATTGAGTCCATAAAAACAGTTTTCTACTGACCATTTCATCTTGAAATCTTGAAAAACTCCCCTTATTACATTTTCACTAGGTGGGGATTTTATGAGAAAATGTATGAAGTTATTGTTCAGTAGTTGCTGCTAATTCCAAGTTGACCATCTGAAGGCTCTGCAAGAAACAGCACAAGTTATTAGTATCCTCATGTGAGGCTACAATGGACAAATGATCCAGTGTGACAGCTTGAGGTTATTGAATCTTCAAATACTGCTGACATACCATGAATTAACTATGGCACAATGGTGAATGAAATAAGAGCAGTTCTCAACCTTTGGTCTCAACAAAATTTAACAGCATATGGAAGATGTACAGGGTGTCCCAGAAAAAAGGTGCAACATTTAAAGGCAGTACAGAAAATTTAATATAAAAGTTAAGAGACCATTTTACTGTATAACATATTAGCTTACATCCTCGAGTTTTGTCATGTTAGAATACATGTCCAAAATGTTTGCCATTTCTGGCAGAGCATGCTTGAATGCATTCAGCAAAATTGGCAATAGCATTGGACAAATTGTCTTCACTGACATTGTGAATTGCATGATGAACTTGACCTTTTAACCCTGGAATGGTCTTTAGTCTTTAGTCTGTTTTTTGAAAATGTCTTCTTTAACCCCTTAACCATAACCATAGCCCCTTAAAAAGAAAACCGAGGGGGGGAGGGACAGATCTGGTGGATGCACTGGCCATGGCCAAATTTTTTTACAAGATTTTCGATCATCCCATATGATGGTACATGTGATTATGGAAATCATAGTCTGAATGCTATCTGCACCCTCTTTCGTGATTTTGTTTCCCCAAATTTATTATTGATGAAAATTCTTTCTGCTGTCAAAAACTGCTCCATTTTTAGTCACCTGTAACAATGGAAATAAAATTTCATGAGCTTTTGTATATATTAGGCAAAGAATTATATGACTATTGCATAAAACATTATTTCTACAATTAATTGAAATGTTACACCTTTCTGTGGGACACCCTGTGTCTTAGTTAAGTCATGCACATTATCGGGAGTGAACTTTTTGGCTTCAATAATAGAGGATCTGCATAAAAAATTATTTGAAGATATACATTAGTTGATATGGACCTTCTTGGCCCAAAAGGGATGTCTAAGAATTTGGAGAACTACTTTAGTTCAGGATTACCCAGACAGTGGTTTAACTCTTTCACTGCATAGTAGAATCGATATGGGTTTGGAAGGACTAGCTGCTGTGTGAAAAAAGTCTACCACTGCAATGGAAGAATTAAGGATTCCAAAAATAACCCCTTCCAGCACCTGTGATGGAAGCATCATAGGTTAAAAGACTTCTAACAATGAAGGCTGAGGAACTATTGCGAATGTTATGTAGCACTGACATAGACCCCAGCTCAGAAGACTCCCCATAACTTGTTGCATGCAATTTTACCCCCAAAAGGGAGGTAGTTCAAATTATTAAGCTACTCTTTTTTTAGCAATATATTGCAGAAATGGGCTGCACTTAAGTTCCCTTCCCTTGCAGTCATCACTAAACCACTTGAAAAGTCGCTCTTTTTAAATGATTACATACCATTATCTTTTCCAACTTTATAAGTTGACTTGTGAAGGGAGAAGTGCTTTCATTAGGGATATCATTGATGAGAACATTTTCTTTCCATGGAAAAATAATGCTAAATTCAACACGAGATAAAATTCTTTACAGTACTGACACCTTATTTTTTAAGTATTCCCTCCGATTGGAGAAGAGAGCTAAAATTCACCCATGTTCTGAGTCCACCAACTCCTGTTCTGTGCAAAGCTTGTGAGACATCCTTTTAAGTGGGCCTCCTTTCCTGAAAGGAAAGAGACCACTTATGGTCCTATTCATGTGTCGCACTTTGGTTTTCCGATGATAACTAAAAAATATTGGCCTGATCAATGCAAAAATTGGCTAGATATGAAAAAGATACATCCTGAGTTCGTTTTGTGGCGAATTTGCACCAAAATTGCATTTTTATTGCAAATTTTGAATTTTAAATTTGGTCATGGAGGGGAAGGCATGAGTACCTGTGGGCCCTTCTGGTTCTGGACCACAATGCATATGTGTTTATGACCCAGGCTTTGGGCACAGCGCTGTGTCAGCAACCAGAGCTGTCAGTTCCCTACCAACCTTCGTGGTGGATGGATCCAACCATGCACAGCCCTCCATCCTCCCATCATCATTTCCTGGCCACTGTTTGTCTATGTTTACCAAATATAAATGAGAAATGAGGTTTTTGATGGTGAAGACCATAAAGAGATGGCATTTTGTTCAATTAGGTGACAAAATGAGAGTTTCTTTAACTGAAAGGAGGCCCACTACTGGATTGGGCTTGCCCAGCTTGTTTTATTGGGCACTTATAAAATTTAGCATCCATTACACCAAGAGCTGACTGTTCAGCAATCAAAATGGAACTGATTTATCCAAACACTACATGACAAAAGAACGAATAGGCTTTATTCCTTGCTCTATAAAATTACTTGGTTTTTGCAGTTGTGCTTTTTTCAATATTGACTTATTCACTGTGTGCTATCCATGCACTCCTTTCTCCATATTTATAGGGATAGTAGATTCATCAGTTTGTCCTGTTTGCAAGATGCAGAAACACACTCTTCTTCACATGTTATGTGAATATGAAGCCTTAGCAGAAATATGGAGAGTGATTTTCTTAGGGACAAAAGTAATCTTCCACTTTTCGATAAATTAGATGTATTTCTGGAATCACCTGGAGTTAGCTGGTCATTTAATTCCATAATCTTGGTATGTTGACATTTTATTTTATTTCACATATAAATAAAATGAAACTGACTCTTGAAAACTTAAGAGGAAAATTTATCTTTAATACAATATTGCCAAAATGGTTGCCTTGAGATGCTGCCATGCTACCATGAAATGAACAAATTTAATTTAAAATGGTCACTAATTAGATCTTTCTTGGGTTTGCAAAGGTGAATGATAAAATGAATTTCCCAAAGCATGAAATCCTTGAATTTGAGTTTTCAGCTACTGAATTGCATACCTAGTTTGTTTTTTGTTTTTTTTTTTTGTTTTTTCTTGAATTATGATTCCTCTCAAACTACCTTGTTTTTCCAGTCAAGTTTTTCTGTATCCCCATTTCTGTTAAGTTGTTATTTTTTCTTTATTTTCGAGCTTCCTGGCTTATGCATCATGTGCTACTTATATCTGCCCTTTTGTATTTGTTCCTTTTTCATTACTTCAACAAACTGTCCTGTCTCTTCTGCCCTCTTTCTCAGTTTTGGCTCATTGGTTACCCCTGCCATTTTGCTGTGATTTTCCTGTCACTTTTTTTCCCATTTTGTTTGTTTCATTATCAATCATCCAGTTATGTACATGGTGGGTGAACAATCAATAAAAAAATTTAAAATATAAAAATAAGAAATCAAGTAAAAAGTTGGTCATCCAAAGAACTACCTTAAATAAATTCATTCATCCAAGGTCACGTGATTAAGTAAAGCTTTCTTCAGTCTGAAACAATTAGGGACAAAATGTGAATATTGGAATCAAATGCAGTTTTCATAATGAAGACATCTCGTCACTTAGTTTATGTAATTCCATTAATTGTCTGAGTGACTTTATACCCACTCTGCATTTTCTGACAGCTACAGACGTTCTGCTCCTCATCCGTGATGCTCTGAACTCCAAGTATGGGAACTCAGTGGCCAAACCCCATGATCTCTATTGGTTCCCTGGGCAGCCATGCATTGCTCTCTATCTGGATCAGAATTGGCATCGAGGGACTGTGACCAAGGTAACCAAAGGCTCTCATGCTTATGATATACACTTATTATCAAGTGTTCTTCATTCAATAAAGCACAAGAATGACTCATTATGGAATGGAAAAGTAGTACTTGGATTTTGTGTACGTGGAACATGTATGGCACTTGTCAATTCAAATTTTGCTAATTGGCTCTAATGCACTGCCATATTTTGATCAAATTATGAGAGTGCACTCTCTGCACATTTACAGTAGTCAAGTTACCATTCACTTAAAGGTCACTTAAATACTGCAAACATTTACAAACTTAAAAAATTGTTGGCAGTGGTGGTGGTGTTACTGTCTCTCATGAAGGATGGATAACTATGTGCTCCTCTGCTGCTTCATGAAGGTTTCCAAGATTAAAAAAATATAAAATTTTTCTGATTGGAAATTTTCAGAAGCCAAGTAGATGAGTTCTTTGCATTTGTGAGCTATGGTAAAATTGGTGAAGTTTGGAGAGTATTACATGGGACAGGTAATGAGTTTTGGCATTGAGTTCAAATATTTTAAATAAAAAAAGGTATGAACTTGATATCATGACTATAGATGCAACACTATTGACTTTTGGCCTATATCCAATGCACTGATAATCTGATGTAGAAAAAAGCTTCAACCAATACCAATAACCTATAGCTATCTAATTCCACACATTCAAGTCATAAAAATATATTTCAATGAGGACATACATATCACACAATTTGTATCATGAGAACCTTCCTGTTTATTGCAGTTATAGATAAATGGAAATCACAAAACAAGTTCCAATAGGCATGAAAAAAAACAAAAACAAAAAAAATTACCAATTCACCTGAAAGATTCATAACAATCACAGAAAGTAAAATATCACATCCCTCTAATAGGAGAACACCATTAAGGTGCAATGGAGGTTCATGAGCTTCGGAGGGAGAGTAAACCACTGAAGAGAGATTATAACCCTTCACACATACACTGGGAACAGCATGTGGAGATGCTGACTGCCTACAGGGGATGGGATGTGGAAATAGCTAATGTATTGACTAGCTGCACCATAGGGGATAATTCCAGTACCCACTCAGGTTTGCCTCTATATACAGTAAAAACTCATTAACTCAAATCCAGTTTAGTCGAAATTCCACTTATCTTGAAGTTCATTGCTTTGTAGTGGCCGAATCCTGTAAGACACCATGTTAACCCCTTAACTGGGTTGTTTTTTGCAACAAAATGGGAAGTTTTCTTGCCTTCCACACAGGCTGACAGGAGAGCTCTACTATTTCGATAATTCTGCAACAACCAGTGGGAATTATGGAACCCTATTTACTGGGAGCGTGGATGGGTGTCTGAGGCACTGCGTGCTTATTTGCTAATCCCATCTTGCCCAAATATATATGAGGATATTCCACTAATACCTCTTGGCAGATTCGCTGATCTGATATGATACCATACCAAAGTGGACCCTCTCCTTGGGGATGTAAACTTTCCTACCCAGTCAGTCCTTCCACAAGAGTAGGGAGTCATCTAGGACAGTTCAGTAGTTTGGGAGGTATATATCTTGGAACTGCTTTACAACCTAATCCAGGACAGGGAAAATATTGAACAGCCTTGGTTTGGGATCAGTTTCTGGATCAAAATTATTGTTATTGAAGAACAAGAAAGTGAGAAGGCCTTTGCCTTGAAATCGCTTCCCTGATAAGACTTCTTCAAAGAAGGGTGTCTCTGCAATTCTCTTCTTGCTGAAGTGCACACCATTTGTAGACTTCTGCATGATTCCTTGGAAAATAAATAGACCAATAATGGGTTTTCTCTCCTATCCATTAGTGTCCACCCAGTCCTTGTCCCATCTGCGAGGTTGCTGTCCACCACAAGTAGCCTATCCTCTTATGCACTATTTCTCATAGAGATATGCAATTTTGATAGCAAGCCCATCAATGAGGAGATCCTCAAAGACATCAATAGGGTCCTTTCTGTCACCAAAATCAATCAAGATTCTGTTCTGAACCAAAGATTTAAAGGATGGGCATTCCTTGGCCACGTGGATCCAGTCCCAGTAGGTACATCACAATCACCACCTCTGTGAATCTCCATGTCTTCGCTTCCATCGTCTCTGCTTTCGTCATCTGATGTTTCTTCATATTCTTCTTCACTCTCGACATGCAAAAGCAAATTTATTAAAGAATAGTGAGTTTGTTTGCTCTTTGGGCAAACAAACCTGCTAAGGTACCCCGGGGGTCAGAATTTTGAAACGCCACCTAACCTATTATCCCCAGACCAAATGAGGAAGCCAGGCAAAGTTTGGCTGGACTGGTATCAGAGGCGTGGCCATGCATAAAGACCAGACACACTCATGCACACACAAACAAACACTCTGAAATATAATAATATATATATTGTCTCTCTAATGCTCACCCTCGAATACTCCTCCCACATGATGAAATTGCTGTTAACAGCTGACAAGTCAGGTAGAAAATACTTCCTGATATTTGACAGCTACATGGAAAGGCTGAAGAGTAGCCACATCCTGTCAGAAGGGCACAGGACACACCCAAGCCACCCAAAGCAAAGAATTTGCAGAAATATGGAACCTACTTGCAGAAACATCTAAAGACATCCATCCCACCTGTATGCAGTATTTGTGAACGTCCAAAGACGTCTTCCCCAGTTAAAGGGTTAAATATTCCCTTTAACTTGAATTCGCTTTTCTCGAATTTCCGGATATTTCGAAGAGCATTTTCACTCCTGATTATGATTTTCTCATGGTTAACTCGAAATTGGGGTGTGAAGGGGGGAAAGATTATTGTGAGACCTATTGATTTGTTGAATAGGTGAAAGGCAAGAAACCTGTTCAGGAAAAAATCCTTTTCTTTCTTTTTTTTTTCTGCTTACCCCTCCTCCCTCACAGATGCCTATAGAGAGGATTAAAACCAAAAAGCTTCTGCTATATAAAGAAGCATCCTCTGGCACTTTCCATGTCTGCCTATCATTCTCACTTTCGGCCATTCCAGTCATATTTGGGTTCTGGAGTACCAGATGAAGGACATTGTGCTGAATGAATTTTGCATTTGGAGTGTCAAAGTTTCCATAGACATGAATAAAAGCCAATTATAATGAGAAGGTAGTCACTCCTTAAAATCGGATTCTCATGGATGGAAAAATTGCCCTATTGTATCCCTTAACGTGAGTCATTTTTAAATATTCATTATTATTATTATTATTTTTTTTTATGGGTAGAGGCAATTCCTGACAAGTCGAACTTCAGATAACTCAAAACGATTTGCCCGTTCTCAAAAAGTTCAAGTTAATGAGTTTTTACTGTACTTAACAGGTGTGGGCTTAATCAGAGTCTTGCCAGCCCTGTCATGAAATTTCAGAGCTGTCCTGTGAATCTGAAAATTGGCATTTTTTTCATTGATTACTGGTCATTAATGCAAATTTTTAGACATAACATATATGAGCACTCTTTTGCCACCTTTTATGACTTGAAATTGCTTTTTGCCCTCATCCAGGCAAGGTAAAAGATGAACATAACTGGGCAAGTAGGGTCTGTTTGAACCCATATTGCTTTAAGTATATAGTGTTGGAAAACGGAAGGGAAAAACATGTTTTTCACAAAGTGAAGTCTTAACTTTATTGATTCTGATGTATTTCAAAAGGATTGTAAAATTATTTTGCATCCCAAACAATTTTCTGATTTTGTTTACCTCAGTTTTACTGTCCGAATTACACTGTGATATTTCACACCCAATTTACCTGTCATTTACTCAGTTTCACAGTTCCCCTCTTTTTCCCCATGTTTTATTTTATTTTTTACTTGTGTCTTACATGCATTTACATTTTCTTTTCACCTGTGACTCTCCATTTGTTACCTTCAGGATACCTTTTACATCCTATTTACTTCCTCTTTTTAGAATATCATGATGTAGTTTTCACCTTATATGATTGGAGTAACATTTAACCTGATGTTTAAGTAATATGTTTTGATGTGATCTGAGACCAAGAATGAAAGTTTGATTTACAAGAAAGTCACTTCATGAAATTCTCACAGACATTTATTTCTAAGTTCTGTGAGCTTACAGTTTCGTGGTCTGATCATTAGTCTCAGAATTCTGAATGCATTTTTGTTTTAGCCTATTCCTAGCTTCATAATCAAAAGTCCATAGACCAAGAGATAAGCTATGCCTGAAATGGGAAGTGAAAGGAAATAATTCACAGTAAAATGTGAAGAACATTTTTCAGATGGAGCCGAACCACTAACACTGGATGATACTGATTTGCAGTTATGACTATGTTATACCGAGCCATATGGGAAATAGCATAGTTCCAACATGTCCCACAAGGATAATAAAGACAAGTGCAAAGGTGCTGGGGGCAACTTCTACCTGGCATTACCCAAATTTCACCTTTGTGACTCATCTCTTCGGAAGATCCTGCTTACAAAGTTGTCCTTTCCCATGAGCCTCAGATAAAACCAGGGATTCCCCTCTTTCCTCTCTTTTTCCCTCTTACTTCAGCTACCAGAAAACTTTGGCAAACATCAGGTGAAAAACGTGTGAAATATAGGTGAACAATGGGGTAACGTTTTGTATGTTTACATGGAACGTAGTAGGGGTCCAATTGCCAGGTTAAATTGCTCAAATTAAATTTTTTCTTTTCCTTTTCAAACTGTTTCAATTTGGAGATATTCTAGTATCTGGGCCTCCTCAACTTAAAGGATAAATACTAAAAATCGCAGTTAAATATATGCAATATTTTGACTGTTGTTTAGAAAAATTGATGCTTTGGGGTCCAACAGACTCCACTTGCCTGGATAAGGGTTAAAAAATGACTTAAAACTGTTTTGATTAATATAAACAAAGATATGTTACTTTTGGATCATCAGGCATTTAAAAGAAAGAAGCAGATTCCATGGGGTGGCTCTTCTGACCACATCTTTCTCATTGGAATGACCATCCAAACATTTTTTAAATTGCTTTTTATAAATTTCCTTTTCCTTTATTGATGCTCATTGTGTACTATGCCAACACAGTTTACATTAAGTCTATGATCTGAGGGTTAACCATAATTTGATATTAACTTCCCATCTTAAGTTAAAAATTGTTGCAGTTGGACATTGTGTGCATTTCCTGGCTTATCTCTCAGTGTGCAAAGAGTCTAAGTCACTAACATCTCTGGCATGCAAATTTATTGTATTTCAGGACCACAATTCAAGCTGTAAAGTGTGATCTTTACAGATAACCAACTCAATGGAGCAGTAAATGGTATGGGATGATTGGGTGCTGTTTGCAGGATTTAAGGCAGCTCCACCCTTTTATACCCAGCATTTTTTTTTCTTGTTTATGCAATACTCATTCCACCCTTGTCAATAGTCACTTTGACCAATTAGTACCAGTAAGCCCACCTCCCAGTCACAAATGGGCATCCCCAAAGTGATGTGAGTACAAGTAGGTAGCAATTGCATCCAGAGAAATAAGAAACATGCCTGGGAAGGTTGCTGGGCAGCTGACATACATGCTTCAAAAGCTACATGTCATTCCATTATTGTATGTAGCATATTTGTATTCCATTCATAAGTCATATTCCCAAATATTTATAGTTGTATACATCACAAATGTCAAGGCCTTTCACACCTTAGATCATGGACTATTTTTTTATTCTTCCTACTGCCCTGCAGGTGGAGGATGGGACCGGGAATGTGGAGGTGTTCTTTGTGGATTATGGTACTAAGACTCTCCTTTTACCAAATCAATTGAGGAAGAACATTCTCCTTGAGGACATCCCAATGCAGGCCATCCCATGCGAACTCTATGGTGTTGCTCCTGTATGTTAAATCAACTTCTAATCCAATAATTCCTGCTGTTCAGCATTTAGAATGTTTATTGCATCAGATACTAAATTCAGATTCAAGACTCATCTGAATTTTCTTGATATGCAGAATTCAGTCGATGGGAAATGGCCAACTCGTGTCTTGGACTTCATGCATAAGACAGTGGTGGAGAAGCGCTGTGATGTTTTTGTCTGCAAGCGTAAACCTCATCAACTTTTGGTCTGTTCTCATCTTTTTTCTGTTGCCATTCCTTCATTCATACTTGCTTAGAGATGGGGTGACTGCTCAATGAATTCAGTGGTCTTTGATTGGAGGGTTCTGATGAAGGGTGATGTAATAGAGGAAGAACATGAAGAGCCCAGCAAGCATGAGAATCCTCATATAATAAGAAGCAGGTTTCCCATCCAATTCAGCGAGAAGATCCTCCCATGCAGCCAGTTCCTTTGCATGCTGAGCAGAAAGTAATCCTCTGCACGACTTGGCTTTGTTTAACTGAGTGCGTCTTAATTCACACACACGGCGACATGCCAAAATTACATTTTGCATGTCTTCTCCTTCCTTCCTTACCCTTCCCAGCATCATTGTCATTGCCTCCACTGCTCCCACATATCTGAAGCACAGTATTATTGGTTGCTCTTTACATTGAGAAAAGGTGAAAATGAATACCAGGGAGTGAGAAATAAAAACAGACCCAGCGACTCCTGGAATGACCCAATGCCAGTTCATGGGTTCCTGTCCCTTCTGAGCTTCCTGGAGAAAGTTCTTTTCCATCTCCTCACTCTTAGGGACTCTAGCTGCACAGAGCTTTGAGAATGCTCCTCGCCAAAACTGATTCTCTTCCCCATATGTTGCTCCTGCTCCAAATGAGTCCATTCCCATTATTCCACATGCCATATTCTGATAATTCATTCTTCATCATTAATGATGCTAGAGTTTCAGTTGTATTTTTTCATAATGGAGTGGATTGCAGGCTAAATTTTAGAATGGAATTCTCCCATCTTACATTAGGCTCTAGTGATTCACTATGAGGCAGATTTCTCAATTTGGGAGTGTGAAATTCTCTGCCTTCAACAGAAATGACTGTAAAATAATGCCCATTCAGCATATCCTCAGTTTTCTATATCATCAGGCAATGATGAGATGTACAGATGGCGAATCTGACCAATCTTATTCCCCAAATCTCAAATTTCATGTAAATCTGTCCAGCCATTCTGGAGATATAACAAATTCATTTAGTTCAGTGATTTTATGAACACCCTGTATGTATCAGCTGAGTAGGGAAGATGGGGAAGAATTTCCCATCTTCTGGCAAGGATCATTTCCACAAGGATGTGGCATTTGTATGTGGCTGGATTTCCAGGAATGCAGCTGCTGGGATTTGAGACAATCCTTTCTTAGGAGAAGGAAAACCTTCTTCACCTTCCCTACTCACCTGAACTCTCTCTCTTCTCTCTCTATAATTTATTTTGGATTGGAAAAATCCTTCCAAGTCAAAGATTCCAGTCAGCAGATCAATTGGGCTGTCAAAAGGATGTGATCTGTTATATGAGGGAAGGATAGATAAGGTTTGGAATTTAAGGCCTGCCAGAATATTAGGAAAATGTATGATGGACAATGCATCAGTAGCATGTCCACATGATCTCATCATGTTTATGCTATTTATTTCAACCTTTTTTTTTTAATCCATTAAAAAATTAATGGAAAAAATTATGATACATGTACTTTCCATGCCATGCAATCCTGAGGAACTCCAAGAAAGGATAACATCTGACACACAGTAGATGCTGCTTACTGTGATAACTGGTTATTGTTATCAGCTGAATAATGTGATCAAATTTCAAATCTAAAACAAAATCATATATTAAACCCTTTCAGTCTTGGTGGGACTCAGGAGTCCCACATTTTCTTCGCATATGTTATAGGGCCACGTAAGAATGCACGACCTTGAGTTCATGGTGGGATTCTGAGTTCTGATTCTGATTCCTGTTTATAACAGTTCACCACATGTTGTCAATATGACAGCAATCCACAGTAATAAAAAGCTGCTGTATTTCCTCTGGCACTTCAAAAATGGAGTCATCATTTATATGTATTTCAGCTAAGACATTTCTTTCCTGGCCAATTTTTTCTGTTTTTGCAAGCTAGATAATGGAAAGTAGCACAGAAATACTAGGAAACATACAACATAAAATATGGATATAAGTACTAGCTAAACTAATTTATAGCATGATTTTATTAATATATTTAATTTCTTTAAATAACTGAAATAAATATATAATTTTACTGGAGGAAACCATTTTAAAAGCACTTTTATGCTAAATAAGCCTTGTTGAGGCCCAAAAAATAAATTACATTTTTTCCATGCCTGGAACATAATTCAGGAATGAAGGAGTTAATGTTTATATTTTTCCTATTTATATTGCTGTCGACAGATATTGTGATCAAATGTAATCTGACCGCTACATCTTCAGTGACTGAATCACATGGTGGGGAGGGAAAGGGTGGTGGATCACTCCCTGGGATTGAGGAAGACAACTTCTCTTGGCTGTAATGACAGAGTCAGGAGCCTTGATTGGGACTACAACCTGTACAACAGTTTGAAGACAGAAATTGAAGGTGTAGTAACTGTTACCTACACCCAGACAACTCTGGATGACTATTTCATCTCATAAAGGCAATTTAGTAATGAAGGTACTAAATTTCAAGTTTTCATTGATCATCACCTATTGCCAACAGTTGCACAAAGTTTCCAAGTACCCCTTAATCAATATGATCACTAAAAGTAGCATCCACTGTGTAATCCCTTTCTTCAATGAAAAAAAATTGTATTTAAAACTTCCTAATAGCAAAAAATGTTTGTATCTATGGAAGTTGTACCAGTTGCAGCAGGGAGAGGCATGACTCCATTCCACTTTTGGTGCATCTTTAAATACCCTGTTCTCACTCGCTTTTAACTAGTCATTCCATCACTGACATCATAAAACAAAGAATATGGGATAGTTGAATGAAGTTTCTTTCACTCTTGGGCAAATATGGGTCCATACATATAACTCCAACCTCAGGTCTCACAAGGAACATTCACAAAGTGTGATGCCCCAATTCTTGCCAAAATTTGTACAAATGCAGTGCATAATTATTAAATACTGTAAATCAAATTTCACATGCCCTTGTGGCCCAATTAAATTTCGAAAATTGAGTAGCAATAATGAAAATCAATATAAAAATGGGCAAAATAAAGGCGTAGCTCTTATGAATGTGGCCACATCACATACACCATTGCCTATTAATTTTTGACAGTTCTGTTGAAAGATGTCCATTTCTAAGCAATATTGAACTGGCATTATATGTGCTTTGGGCCTCTGATCCATATATCCAGCTTTATTTAAATTCAAATTCATACTTGAATTCATCCCCTTCAACACATGACATCAAAGTCTCTGAAATAAAACAGGATAAATAATAGGAAAACATTTTTAATTATTTGAAAATTAAAATAATTTACCTGTTAATTTTGCTGCCAAATCGACTTCAACATCTGATGGCACTGATGTAGAGGTCCAATAGGAAAATTTAGCCTCCAAGAGCTTAAGAACAGTGAGAGGGTTGATTGCCATGATGAATCCGAGAAACAGAACCAGCAAAACACCAATGCTGTGGGGAAATGTGGACCATTGGGATAAGGGGTCGTTTCTTTATTGCACCTGAGGGAAGCAACGAGGGCATGTGAAATTTTATGTACAGTATTTAATAAATATGTACTGCATTTGTACAAATTTTGTTCAGAATCAGAGCGTCACACTTCATGAATGTTCCTTGTCAGTAGAATCACAGAGACAGTGTATATTGCCAAACCCTTCAGTGGGGTGCATGGATATTTCTGCATGGTTGGGTGAACTATAAACTGGTCTTTCTGCCATCTATTGGGCAGTTGGTCAAACTTGGGAAAGACAAATGACATCATTATTTTGCGATTAGAGGAGATAATGTGCCATGCTCTCAGCTGTTCCAGATCAGCTTTTCACTGTGCCATGCTGATAGGACCAAGTTTATCTTGTTTTGCAAAATGTGAGGGATATTTTTGTGGAAATTACAAATAATTCTGTATAAAATGTCAGGAAGAGCTGATAAAAGTAAGAAGAACAATGAAGTAGAATCCATGATCCATAATATTTCAAGAAGGAAGTGAAGCAGAGGAAAGTGATGTAAGCTACTTTATCATACCATGAACAATGTTTACTGAGATTTTTTACTTTTACACCAAACTCATTGAGGGTAAGTGTCATTGCCACATCTTAGTGTCATGTCCATCCATTTATGTATCAAAAATACCCACAACATATGCACAAATTTCAAGGGAAAGGTTTAAAAAAAACTCAAGAAAATAGCTAATATGCAATTTTAGCCAAAAATCCTCCCCAGGTTGGAAAATATAGGGGGTCAGAGCATTCCCCACTCAAGGATTTAAGGCAAGTTCACATCAACTGCATACCATAGCATAAGGGTATCTATATAGAGAGTTGAGCATAAGTCACCATCTTCCACAAGAGCTTGTGCATGCTATGTGGGCCGCATAAACTTCCCTTTTGGCTTTGATGTGCATTCATTAACACAACTTTCAAATCTAAGTGATGGAATGAATGTTTCAGCTAGCCTGAACAGGGAATTATTTGTATGCACTAGCACAATGCTTCATCGATGAGTTTGGACAGTTCATTGAAACTCTTGACTCAGTGCTAGAAATGACTTCACCTTGTGTATCTTTTCTGCTTATCATCCTGAGTCTTGCCTTTGAGTAAATTTTGCCTGATCATTGATCAAAAAACAATGGCTGTACATGGTCGATCAGTGGGGACTCAAAGTTACTTTGCCAATGTTTTTGCTTGTGAAAATTATTCAATAAACTTCTTTTGTCAAGTTCTGGCTTAAATTTTGAGCCTATCCCATAAGGATGCCTAGAATAGCTGGAATGAAGCTGCTAGTGAAAGAAGTATCATTGCTTATACTGTCTCATCAAATGCAAGTTTATCACAGTAGGTATATTGAATAATGGTAATTGGAAACAGGATACATCGGTCTCTGTTTGGTTTGACAAGCCTCTAAAGAAAAATTATATGTAATCATCCTGAGGGATATTTTGTATTCCTGGGAATAATTTCATTTGTAACAAGTAAGGATTGTTTTTGAGTTAACTATATGACAAGCAGGGCTTGTGCCCAGTAATAGCTTTGTTAGAAATTCACACAGATGGTTTGAAGTAGGCACATACCACTGCTGTTATACATGGACTCAGAGTGATATGGTGGCCTACCTTCAACATGGAAGATATGAGACTGATGGTGTACTCCCTCAATTTGTCTCATTGGCATCCTCTATTTCTCCTCCACTTCCCACAAACCAGCTACTATTGCATTCATACTTCCAATCCTCCTCTTCCTCAACAACACTATCTTATCTCTCCTAACCTCTTATCTGTTTGGAGTGACATTGATAAAGGTCTCTAATGCTTCCTTTTAGTTACATTCAAAATTAACCCTCCATTGTGTCCATGTATCCCCTTGCATTCAGAAAGTTTCAATGAGCCAATTTGCAGTGTTTGCAGATGAGATATTCTTTCTTGTATAACCCTTTTTTTTATTTTGTATAGATATGATAGCCTGCAAGGGTCAGATAAACAGAAAAAAAAAAGGAAAAGAAAAGGAAAAGTAATTTCACTTCATCTGAGAACTTTGGAGATTTCTCTAATAAAAGTAAATGTAATTGATACTTGCAGCAAAAAAAATCAATCCCTGTTCAAGAAGTAAACATTTAATGGGGGAAAAAATTATTGTTCATTCATGCCTAATGTCTGTTAAAATTGATGATCCATAACTGAGAAAGAATAACTGTCACAATCACCTTCGTTTTGAGTCTCAGAAAAAGTGTAAGGAAGGAATGGGAATATTTCTTCCATGTCATAGGATCAACTACAACAACTACTACTTCAGGGGACTTTCCTTTCTCAACGCAGTTAGAGCAGTTTTAATTAGATGAGAAATAACTCCACAACTGCATAAACACTTCCCAACTTTTCCTGCAAGACCTGACAAATCTCTTTATCAAAAAATGTTGCTAGACCTTTATAGGGCAGTAAAAGTCAGCATATGAGAAAAACTTTGACAGAAACAGGACAGGAATATTTGAGAATGCCTTACCAATTATATATGTAATGATGCAGGAAGTGTGCTGTTTAGTACACTCCATAGATTCTCAAATGACCATCAACCTTTTTTGTGCCACATAGGCCGATATTTCAGCCACAACTTTCTGTTAGGGTACATCCTTCACATAGTTGGGGTTCTTCTTGTTGAATGGCAGCAGCCTTCATATACAGTACCTTACATGCACATAAGTTACTTTTTTGCCTCCAGTTGTGCCCCTAGTATTTTATTTTAACTCTGAAGCAATGAGTTATATTTGTGCAAATGTATATAATTTTGCTTCTTTTATTTGTAGTGTAAGCGTCTAAGATATATGACTATAAACATGTTTTGTGAAGGAAAAGTGACTCCTCTACACAAATATGATAAAACCATTTGAATTTGGAATACATTTAGTTATTTAATTGTGCTTCAAAGTTGAATTTAAATTTTGAAAAATACATTTTTCAAAATAAATAAATGTACCAAAAAAAATTTTTCCTTCAAATAAACAATAATCCATAATACTTAGAGTAGCTGTGAGGAAACTAAAAAAGAATTGCATCTCTATGTTTCATAATTTAGGAGTTTTTTTTTTTTTTCAAAAGCACTGGAATCTAAGAAAAAAAAAGGCTTGGGATTTTTAGCAACTACTTGCCATAATGGCTTGGCACCAAAAGGGTTAATCAAAGTTGGTTTCAGCACCAGGACCTTAGTCACTATGGGGTTATACCAAAATGTGGAAATATACAGGGTCATTATATAAAGTCACCACCCTATTTTGATTGGCTATAATTTTTCAAGGGACAGTTGAATACAGCAGATATTTTAGATTCATGAGTTTAGGAGATTTTTTCCCATATTGCAAGATGGCACTGATGTCGAGCACAGTGCCACCTATCTACATGCTATGTCATTTTTCAGGCACAGGTCAACATGTAGAATCATATGGCAGATAAGGGAATGAATAAGTCATAGACCCATGAACATCTATGTCAAACATCATCTGACTGTTCCTTAAAATGTTATGACCCAACAAAATTTGATTGTTACAAGCCACCATCTGATTTTGTTTGACCATATCTTTTGAAAGAACTCTTGGATACAGCTGATATTTGGCAGGTTGGTTCATGGGCCTGAAATTTTTTTTCAGTGTCTGAAAAATGGCATATGACATAAATAGGTGGCACTGCAGATGATGTCAGCACCCTCTATCAACATGCAGCACCATCTTTCAGAATAATAAAAAACCTCTTAGACTCATGAACCCATCAAATATCAGCAGCATCCAACTGTATCTTTAAAAGTTATAGCTATTCAAAATAAGGGGATAACTTTATAATGACCCTCTATATTCCATTCCAAAATCCATTTGGTCTGGGTTTTTTTTTTTCAAAATGAAACCTTAGAATAATAAATGCAAAGAAACTTTGGCTTCTTGAACTGTTTTCATGGAAGTGCATGGGAAATTTTGGGCTTTTGCCATTTCTCTAACCCACAATTTCACTGAGAGCTGCACTTTCAACATATTCTATATATTGGAGATGTTGAGCTATGAATAACAATGTTAGTTGCACTAACAATCACCTTGGCCAAAACCTAAGGGAAAAATTACCATTTTTGGCTTATGTCTCATCCAGGGAAAGAAATGTTTGACTGATTGAACACATTGATAATATCATATTTGACTTGAATGTGAACACATGGTTTTTGGGACTAAGTAACACTACAGCTTGTCCAGCTTGTCCTCTGCAATACCTGAAGAACACCAAAGATACAGTCATTCCCTGCTGTTTGCAGTTGTTTATACATTGTTCCATAAACACATTCATACACTATGAAGGTGATATAAGGCAGAGTTGTCATGTAATGTAAGAAAATTCCAAAAATTTATCTTTTCTCCTCAAGTCTGACTCATAGGCCTTAGATGTGCCCAGAGGAGCCCTGTGGCTAAGAGGAGTGTGACTTTTGTATCAGGATTATCATTAAAATAACCAGGCATTGGCATACTGGAAAATGATTGATCATTTCCCACTGAAATTTCAAATGAAATATTTGATGATTTGGCATGGAATGACCCACAATCAAGAGATAACTCCTTCAATGAGTTCATCTCTGACCCATAATCACTCCCTCCCAAAAGTGAGTATTCTTGTCAAAGACAGAAATTTAAGGATGTCAAGAAGCAAGGGGAGTTGGATATACAGGGTGGGCCAAAAAAAAACAAAGCAATCATTTTTGGTAAGTTGTCAATATGATTGTAGGTTGGCAATTTGGATGAAATTTGGTTGACACATAGGGTGACTCAATTAGGGTTTGTATGCCATGTTTCAAATAAAAATTAAAAAAACAGTGAAATTGGCATTTATTTACATTTCATCACCAAAAATTAAGTGTTCATTTTTTCTTTCAGCTTGAAATCTTTCATAATTGACAAAAACAAACAGAACAAGAACAAATGCTAAACACAAAAGTGCACAATTTGGTTTAAGCACATTCATTTCAACTGAAAAGGTGCTCAATGTGTCCTCCATCCTGTTGCACTCTGGCCTCTAGCCTGGGACACCACAGATCAATGGCTTGGTCAATGAACCTTTGAGGCAGTGCCTCCCAATCTTCTTTTGTAGCATCATGCAGGGATGGTAAGTTCATGAATTCGAACCTCTCTTTCATCCCAGCCTCAAGTTCATATCAATATTTTCGACAGCACATTTTGTTGTTGGCCATCAGAAAATGATTACAGCTCTTATAATTTAAGAGCCAGAAAGCTGAAATTTGGTATACAAACTCCAATTGTGTCACCCTATAAGTCTACCAATTTAAATTTAAATCGGGTGCCTACAAAGAGATTGATGACCCACCAAAAATAAAAGCTTTGTTTTTTTGGCCAACCCTGTATAAGCAAATTTAATGTATCATTCATTTCATGTTTGTGGTATTTGTTTAACCCATTGACTTGAAAAAAGCACTCACCAGCCCCACTGTGTTATAAAAATTGCACTTTTTCATGCAAACTATGGTTTAAGTTTAAATTGTCATATCTTGAAAACTATTGAAAATAGATCTAAAACATGTTGAACAAATTATTTCCAGGAACAGCCAGAACCTTATCAGAAGAGTGCAGGAATTTTGAGATGAGTATAAATTATTGAAAGACTTGAGTTTATCAAAGGCACAGATGATAAAAGGTTCATCAGTTATCCAGTAAGGCTGAATAGTGGGCTGCTTTGTAATGCCCATTAAATTCATTACATAAAGAAATGTACAATGTTCCTATTCAGGAGATTTTTCCATTGTTTTACCCTTAAATATTCACTTAGAGTTGTGTTAGAAATAAAGTCTGATGCAAATTTATGTAGTTTTGTCTCTATGTTCCAGGTCTCTATGTTCATCTGTGAAATTTAGTTCAGAAACATTCTCAGGGAAGTTGTCCTAAATATATTTTTTTAATTCAGTATTTCCTGTGAAAGTCAAGAAATGAGGTACTTGGTGATTATTGCTAAACTCAGGTACAGCATTTTCACCCCCTTGGTCAACCACTATTCCTGCTTGCATCTCCATCCCCATCATCGTTATCATCATCTTAAATTTTTCAGCTTCAACTTCCATTTCAACATCACTTTTACTACTAACACTGGAAATGTCAGACTCAGCATTTGAAAGTACATTTACTTCATCATCATTTAACATGAAAGTACATGAGTAGGAAACCATTTTTACTGATTTGGTCAGTAAAATTACACACCTTATTTTTGCTATTCATTGCTTCCAAAAGCAGCGCTGTCACTGTTGCATAGAAAAAGATATCGTGGTTCTAACAATACCGAATATATGGCACTTACATCCATAAATAGCAGAGAAACAACCTAAAAGCACTGACTTTCAGAGCCCAAGTATATACTTGGGCTACCACTGTAAAAGCTTGTGCAACCTGAGTATGTGCTTGGGTAAACAGTGAAAGGGTTAAGGATGTGACTGTAGTTGCTGAGAAGTTGAATAATGAAAATGTGATGAAAGTGATCCCCTTCTGCAATGCAGAGGATTTTTAATAGTTGCATCCTTTTTTGTATTGTGCAGCTATGGAGGGGTGGAAAAGTTTTGAAGTCTACTAACCTGGTTACTGGGAAAGGTAGTGACCATTTGGGAAGGTAAGATGGAGGGGAGAGAGAAAAGTGAGGAGGAAAGAGAGGATGAGGATGGACATGGAGGAAGAATGGAGCATTGAATCCAACTTTGCAAAAAATGTTTCCAAATTTTGTTGTTTGAAATAGTTTTGCCTAGGTAAAAGTAAGCTCTGGAGATAAATTTTTCTGGTGTCAAAGGAAAGGATGCTGGAAATTTCCAAGCAATCATGGACTCAAAATTCTTATATATATGCTTTTCACATAACCTTTTATACTTAATGAAATGGCTATGGTATGTGAAAAATTATTTTATGGATTTTTTTCCCATTGTCAGGTCAAACTGATCATTCCATCAGGATTGGACTTGGGTGAGATGCTAGTTAACATGAGAGATGCAATTGAGATAAAGCCAGATGACAGAGAGGAATATGGAGATGAAGTTGAAGATGCTCCCTCAAGTACCATCAGATCCAACTCTGTCTCTCCTGTTCAATTTTATCCCAAAGAAGAGGATGAGGTGAAGGTAGAGACACAGGAGGAAGAACATAACTTTGAAGGGGAAATGAATCCTTACCCTCCTCATCCTCCCCTTGAGATGCATACTTTCATCCCAGTTCGCATTTCAGCAATTGACCTCAATAATCCTACCAGGGTTTTCCTGCAAGTCAATGACAGTCTTCTCTCTCCTCAGGTTCCCCCATACTTATTTCATCCTCTCTGCCACTTTATACAACTTGATGCATGCTATTGACTGAAACTTAACACAAAATTTTTCATGTAGGAAAGAGCAAAGAGAGAAAAGGCAAAGGACTTTGGTTGCTCACATGAGGATTTCATCCAGATGGAAAGTTCTTTGAAGCATGAAGGTCCTTCCTTCCCTTACTTGACTGACATCTGTCTTGGTATCTCACTTTTCCTACTCATATTATGTAACGGTCAAGTCTTAATAGCAATAACTAAGTGTTGTCATTTCTTCAGGAACAGCAGCCACATTCCAGTCAAGTGAGGATGGTGCTTGGTATCGATGTTATGTGATCAAGGAAGTGGGGGATTCAGAATGTGAGGTGGTTCTTGTTGACTTTGGCAATCTGAAGATCATCTCCCGCTCTATGTAACTTCTCATTTCTCCCAGATCCTTTTCATGGTTTTACCAAAAATACTCAATTCAGTACTGGAGTAAAAATAAGTGCTGTGCAACTCCATGGTTCTTAGGTCATACAGTATTTTTCTCTTGACTTCAACATTCATGCTGCTTTCTATCTTTTATTCACTGCACCTGCTGTGACTGACTGACGTATTTTGTGTTACAGACTTCGACAACTGCCTGCTCACTTGGTGAATGTGCCAAGGCATTGCATCGCTTGTGTCCTGAGCAATATCCATGCTCCTCCAGATCAGAAATTTCCCTATGACAAAAGTGTCATGGCAGAGGCCCTTTCTCAGTGCCTGTTTCAACACTGTCAGCTTTATGCTTATGTTAAGGTACTAGTGTCCCTAGCTGTATTACATGCAACATTAGGTTTGCTTTTAATAAGTGCCTGACTCATATTCCAGGAGGTGAGTACCTGTCCAATGGTGGATATCTGCTACCTGGAAGATGAAGAACAAAAGGAAGATTCAGGCAGAGGGGAGCAGCGAATGAGACTCGCTTATGAATCCCTTATTCAGTCTGGGCTCATTGTCCTTACTGAGCAGTCTCTAAGTTAGATCTGAGCAGTTTCTACTTTTTTTTGTTGTAAAATATTGACTTAATCTAGAGACTTGACTGAAGAGCAGTTACAGTGATGATCTATTATGTGATAAAGGAAATATTGGTGTTAACCCTTTTCTGTTTCTGTTGTGATTGATACAAAAGAAAATGTGGGTGGTTCCCTATTCAATTCCAGTCCAGGAAGGTGAATCCTTTCATGTTTTCATTTCATGTCTCTTTTTCTTGTCACTTTTCTGAAAACACAAGGTTTTTTTCTTCAAGATTGGAGTAAAAGGTTCATTTTCAGTTGAAAAATCTCTTTTTATTGCCATTTTTGTCTGCTCTCAATCACAGGACTTTAAGTCGTTATTCCCCCTCAGTATGCAGAATTTTCAACAATAGACAGAAGCATGGCCAGAACCAGATTGGGAACAGGAGATCTAGTGCCAAAATCAGAGAACACAGTAACAAATATGGACAGCCGAAAGGTCATTAAAGGTCTTCTTTCCTGGTCTTCTTGGCAAAGTACTTGAGCTTCTCCTCTGGATTTGGGATGATCTACAAGGAAAAGAATGACATGACATACTCTGCACAGATTGCATTTGACAAAAAAGATGGAAGAGTTGCCTATACCGTATCACCACCAGGCTGCCAGTTGACTGGGCACACTTCCCCATGTGTGTCAGTATATTGAAATGCCTGAACAAGACGAAGAGTCTCATCTACGGAACGTCCCACTGGAAGGTCGTTCATTGTGATCTGACGCAGGATCCCTTTTCGGTCAATGATGAACAAACCCCTGGAAAATATTTAACAGACCCTCAGTTGTATGCATTTCCTTTGTGATCAATGCTCAATTAGGATGTTTCTAAAGGGGGGGGGGATAGAGTAGCTGAGAATAGTGCCTTTTTCGAACCTTTTTTTTCTATTGCTCCTCCCCTTTGAATGAATGATACAGAACCAACCAGAAGTTTATTGCTCCATTTAGATTGAGGTAATTTAGCAGTTTGGTCCCAAGTACTTTTCCTAGGTATAAATTGCAAAACAAATCAATAATCAATCAAAAGTCAGGGATAACATCCCACTCCATCCCTCCATTTTTACTTTTTTTTTCTTCTTAAAATCACATCCCCCCCCTCCCCCCTTTCATCAATTGCAGATAGTGACACACTACATCTGGCGTCATGTATCATTGATGAAGCAGATCCTCTGGAAGTAGTGACTTCTCTATTCTCCACAACCCAGGTATTCCCCACAATGATGAATTCAATCTGAATTCAGTGTATTTGGGCAGAAAGGCTTCAGTTGAGTCAGTTTCAACAGAATGCCATCCTGCTCAATACAAGCACTGCTATTGACAAGTTATCCAAGCCTTACCGCAAGGTGTGACCAAGGTCATCAAGGTACACGCCATACTCCTTCGAAATCTGATGGGTCATGTCTGAAAGAAGGGGAATGTTGAGGCTTCCCAGTCCACCTTCCTGCCTTGGTGTCTTCGTCCAGGCCAAGTGAGTGAAATGTGAATCCACAGAGCATGCAATCACCTCCGTGTCCAATGCAATAAATTCCTCCAATCGATCATTGAAGGCAATGATCTCCGTTGGACAAACGAATGTGCTGCCCATATTCAAGGCATAAGATGAAGCTCATACAATTTTTCCAAGGTTTGCACATTAATACTTTAACAAGAACATACGATGAACACAAGCTCACGTACAAATCCAAGGGATAGAAGAAAAATACGACATATTTTCCAAGGTAGTCTGTGAGCCTGAGTTGCTTGATCTCTCCCTTCACTACGGCTGTCCCTTCCCAGTATGGCGCCGGCTTGGAAACTCCAAAAACGAAATGACGTCAACCTACTGGTCCCAGGAGGCTGAGCCTAATATGACCCATACAACTTACTGACGGCCTTGATCCAGCTGAGGGAGTGTCCAGATGTCTTTCCAGTGTCCTCAGGGAAAACTGATCCACCAGCATATTGTCTGCAAGTCTCTTGACTGAATATTACGTTGGGTAAAGCGAAGATAAGCAGAGCGAGGCATTGGAGAACCGCCATGATGCTTGTTGACAGACAGTTGGCCGGTACCACGTGTCGCATGGAGGTGTTTTGTGAAACGACTAGTGCGCATGCGCCATTTGCATTGCATGCAGCTCTGTTCGCATGCCAATTCCCGAGCATTTTATTTCATGCCTTTATTCATACAAAACGAGCAGCAAGGAAGAGACAGCACATATGCGATGACATTTCGTTTGGCTGATAGTCCTGGTGCATAATTCATGATAGTGAAACATTCACAAATTCAGTGTGTTGTAAACGAATTCGTACCACCTTTAACATGGAGCCAATGCGTTTCTATGGAGGGATCCTCCCAATCTGGATGGCAGCGCTGTCGTCGCTGCGCCTGGGCGACAATCAAAGTAACTAGAGTGAACTAAAGTAGATTGGAGAACGTTGATGATAGGAACGTAAGAGGGAGCCAAGAACAAACTACAGTAGAACGCCGATTATCCGAACTAATTGGGACCGGGGGTGGTTCGGATAACCTATTTTTTCGGATAACTGAACACTCCCACGGAAAGGTTGCGTTAAAGAAGTTAGTGCATAGAATACAATATATTCTTACCTTATACACGTATGGTGCTTTATTGTACAGTGTATTATGTACAGTAATCATCAATTTTCCGTTGTTTCAAATTTGAAATTCTTCGCTGCCAAGTCCCTCATCCTTTTCAGAAGCAGAAGTTGCGTTGAACAACACTCACTCTGTCGTTCACACCATGCCATGACAGTTTCGAATGCAGCAAATGCCTCAGCATGTGTAGGGCCTTTTTCTTCGCTGCCAAGTCCCTCATCCTTTTCAGAAGCAGAAGTTGCGTTGAACAACACTCACTCTGTCGTTCACACCATGCCATGACAGTTTCGAATGCAGCAAATGCCTCAGCATGTGTAGGGCCTTTGTTGTCCTGTTCATCGCACGCTTCTTCATCTGTTGCACCTTCAACAGTGGCTTCTGCTTTCACGGAGTCCACAATTTCGTCTTCAGTTAAGATCTGAAATCCCGGGTCGCCGACGTCAGTTTCCAGCCATTCACGTACATCGTCTTCATCACATTCTTTGAATCCAGGAAGGCGTTCAATAAAGTTTGAGACGTCCTGGAATGTTTGTGACCGTTCTTATTCCTGAATCTGTTCATCTTCCTGGGGTTCTTCAGGAACGGGCCAGAGCTTCTTCCATGCGTGAATCACATTCTGCTCAGTCAGTGAGTCCACTGCATCAGCTAACATATAGCAGGCATCCTTAAGATTGAGCTTTTTAGAAAAAGCGACTACGCTATCCTCGCTCTCGTTCGCCAAAAGCAAACGGCGTAAAACTTGCTTTCTGTAAAGCCTCTTCAATTTTTCGATCACTCCTTGATCCATGGTTTGAATTAGCGCAGTCACGTTTGCTGGCAGAAACTTGACTTTAAAACAACTGTCGATTTTGTTTAACGTCTCTTCTGATGGGTGGCTTGGTGCGTTATCAAGAACCAGCAAAACGTTTCCTTTTTTACCTTCTTGTTCACGACGTCTTTTAATGCATGGTATGAAGTCGTTAGTGTACCAGTCGATAAACAATTGAGAATTCATCCAGGCACTTTTTTGTGACTTCTAAGTTGTGGGCAAGCAAACAACATTTTTGAAGCAACGTGGTTTCTTAGATTTGCCAATCACAAGCAATGGCAGAATATGCTTTCCACTTGCATTGGCACAGACCATGGCGGTAACTCGTTCTTTGCTTGCCTTGAAGCCCGGAGCCGCAGCTTCCCGTCGAGAAGCAAGTGACTTCTTTGGCAGCGATCTCCAGTTTATCCCTGTTTCGTCAGCGTTGTAGACATCGTCTCTGGTGTATCCTTCTTTTTCCATAAGTTCGGAAAATTCTTTTGTAAATGTGTTGGCAGCATTGACGTCTCCGGACAAGGTTTCACCTTCAATGTGAAGCTCTCTAATTCCATGCCTTGATTTGAATGCTCTTAACCAACCTGTACTGGCCTTGAAGTCAGGATTTCCTCCAATTTTTTGGTTCAACAGTAACGCCTTCTCGCAAAGCAATGGACCTGATATAGGCTCACCCAAACTTCGCTTTTGTGTAAACCAAGCAAACAGGGCATCCTCAAGAGCTGTATCACTGACACCTTTCATGCTTTTTCTTCTTTTAGAGCCATCTTCAGAATTAAGTTTAGCTGCATATTGAAGAATTGCTTCTTTTTGTTTGTCAGTTATTGTTGCTTTTCCAACATTGTAGAGCGTTGCCAGAGAAGAACCACTTTCTCCTTTTGCTAGGCGATCTATAATCTCAAGTTTTGTCTCAATCGTTAACACGTTCCGTTTTCTTTTGATGGAAGGCATAGTCACTGTTCAGAACCACCATAGAACACAAAACTTTCGCACTTTAAAGACTTGGAAGCAGCCGTAATGTGTCACGATTACGGACCAGTAAGAATCAACACAGGCCGTCACCAAAGACTGACTCGTCTATCTCAGAAGCAACTGTGAAGTTAACTGTACATTACACGTCTGTTCAGAGAGAAACGAGGCCTGACCCTCACCCTCACTGCTACTACAGTATGAGTCATCTGCACTCTCCGGTCAGATAAGGGCGAGGAAATCTGTTAAAATTCAGGAAGCCACATGTATTTTAGGCACATGACTGCAGGGGGGTACCCAGCCACGCTGTCCGCCCCCGTCTTCAAAGCGTGTCTAATGATTCACATATTTCGCCCATTAACTGGATCTGGCCTTGCCGAAGGTCGGATAATGTGAACTCCTATCTGATTTGTGAGGAAACATTCTAAAAATATACAATACGGTACCACGGGAAAACAATAGGACTTCTGTCCGGCAACTTATTCAAAATGTGCGTATGCATGCATGTACAGTACGTATCTAGATTTTACCTGGATGGTGCGACAGGGGGTCGGAATTGTTTTTTGGTGTTTGTACGCCAATGCTCCATGCCATGCGCATTGCGTACGATAGTAATTTAAAAAAAGACGGGGGCAGTTCGGATAATCGGCGTTTTGGATAATCGGCGTTCTACTGTATATAGGAAACTTTTTTGTTTTTTTAATTATTTTGCGATGAAAATGATGAGTTGGAAAAAAAAAAACAGGTTTCGTTTCTCTGATTTTCTGAAGCTCGGGAAATCAGTGTATGACTGCCCGGCCTGGTACTTGGCAACGATCCTGTGCTCAATGACTCGTCTATCCTTTCATATGGGCCGCGCGACGTCATCTTCGCTGTAAGACATTTCCCAAGAGACAAACCCAATGATGCAATGTGGCAGTCTGAAGCGGGAGGGAGATATCTATCCTCCGGAATAGAAACAATAGTTGGACTTCCTCTGCCGTCGCATTGTATGATCCATGGAGTTACCATGCGCAATGTTAAAGGTGGTACGAATTCATTTTCAAAATACTGTAGATGTATAATTGATCTAGCGTAAGTTCTTGCCGGCCGACCTCTTCTCTCTCACAAGTCAATCTTTCATGTTCCAATGTCGCTCATTAATCAATCACCTGCTGAACGAATTTCACGATAGAGAAAGCCAATCATTAACAGGGAAAGAACAACTCTCCCAAACTTGTATAAAATAACGTCTGCTTTAATGCTACAGCCCAGAATGTCTCGGGAACTCAAATCCCTTAAAGTGAGATCATGAGTAGGGATTGTGGGCCGACCACCATGTTTTCGTCGCCCAACTATTGGGAAAATCAACTCCATTCTGATCTTTCGTTTTCTCCTCTCCCTCCAGCAGTATAATTAACCAAAGAAAAGGAATGAGGAGGATTCTGAAGCAAATGGTATTGCTCTTATCGCTACTTTTTTAAATTACCGCAAGCAATGGCTGTGCACTAGATGCAGCGATCTTCCGATCTCCCCATTGATGGGGGACCAAGATGAATGGAAAGTTTGATAAGGGATCTCAAGACTATACAGAGAGATGTAACCAGACACTGGGACAGATTAATCCTTTCACAGAACCTATGCAAGGAGCCCATAGGAGTCCATAGCAAGGTCCATGGACCGTGGACTCCTACAGGGATAGCCTTTCTTATGACGCATTAACAAATGCTATAACCACTAGTACCAAATAGTTAATACAGATGTCCCCTACGTCGCTATCGCCTGCATCCTCTGCGGTTCTAGAACGTGCATCTGTCCTTACCCAGTCTCACATGTCAGACTCGTGTAGTCATGTTTCGAAATACTACGTATTTGCGTATGGGAGACAATTTGATGGGAAGGACCGTAAACCGACACATCCAGAAGAAATCCTATTGTTTCGTTGCAGACTGTGTATGTAAGAATGTCGAATATGAAAATGCCGAAAACCAATAGGCGGCGATTTGTTGAGAAATTTGGGGGGGCTCAGAGACAGAACTCCTTAAAGTATTCCTTATTCTCGTCCTCGTTGCGAGCCATTTCTGCCCAATTTTTGGGGGGCTCGAGCCCCCTGAGCCCCTATGAATCGCCGCCTATGTTGGTACCTGTCACCCCATCGTCCCGCAGGGCTTCAATATCTTGAGTGTAGTGGCTTACCCAGAATTTGCTGAAGGGAGAGCTCTATGACAGCTGAATGACGAGGGAGGGAGGGGGTGGGTGGTCAGTGACTTAGGAGAAGGCTCGAGCCCCCAGCGCTCCCTCCTTGCGTACGCCACTGCTTGAGGGGGAATTGCAAAGAGAGGTTACTTCTGGGTAGGTGTGAAATTCATTATTCCGTTCCTGACATTGCAAAGGGAACAAACTGAAGATTTGATTACTCTCATTATTTATCCCAAGATAAAGTATAAGAGGAATATTTTCTCTATTCTTTATGGTCATATTTCTCTCTTTTCTGCACTAATTTGAAAGTAAATTTCTCGAGGGAGAATTGCGGAGAGGTCACTACTGAATGAAGTCTTTTTTTTAATATTAGGTAGTAAAAAAAGCCTGCATAACCTTCACTGTCTAGTTTCGTGCTTTTTTCTTCTCTTGCGCTCTCTTACTTGCTCGCCTTTTCCGCATCCCAGCGCGAAAGGAGGATTTTCCCTCCGATTCGAGGTGACACAATCAACTTGGATTAAAGTACTTATACAGTATATACAGTTCGCAGGATTCATTTCGGCATGATGTGGAGACCATTTTTAGTGAGCCTTTTTTCCTGAAAGGAAAGAGACCACTTATGGTCCCGTCCTGTCCGTCCGTGTGTCTGTATCACACTATGGTTGTCCGACCACAACTAAAAAAATATTGGCCTGATCAATGCGAGAATTGACAAGCGGATTGATATGAACAAGATACAGGCTGAGTTCGTTTTGTGGCGAATTTGCACCAAAATTGGCATTTTTATTACAAATTTTGGATTTGAAATTTTGTCACGGAGGGGATGGCATGAATACCCGTGAGACCTTCAGGTTCTGGACCACAATGCGCATGCGCGTACGACACAGGCTTAGGGCGCGGCGCCGTGTCAGCAACTAGAGCTGTCAGTTTTCTACCAAACTTTCCATCCACGCACAGCCCTCCATCCTCGCATCACCGTTTTCTGGGCACCGTTTATCTGTTTACCAAATATAAATGAGAAATGAGGTTTTTGATGGTCGAAGACCGGAAAGAGATGGCATTTTGTTTAATTATGTGACAAAATGAGTGTTTCCTTGACTGAAAGGAGGTCCACTACTGGACTGGTCTTGCTCAACTTGTTTTTTTTTCTGTAGCTGTAGCTGTAGCTGTAATTGTAGCTCGGCTCCCAAGGTTTGACAGTATCTCAGATGTGGCAGTGCCAACACATTTGCTACCAGCAATAAGCTTGAGGAGTCATAGGAGTGCAGATTTCGCCCTTTTGTCTGTTACATTCACGAAATGCCTTAATCGAAGAAGGGAATATTCGATACGCATCGCGCTAATCCTGCGCTGGTTAGCGTCATTCATCCTCCCTCCTCTTCAGGACAGCGATTAAACAAAGAGAATGGATTGACAGAATGATTTATGATGCTTAGTAAACACGAGATAGAGTTCATCCATAGAGTTCCACCAGAATGGATTAAGATGCAAATACAGAAGAGAGCATATGCGTGGAGGAGATGCGTAGGAAGGTCAAGGTCGCAAACGTGCTTCTCCCTTCTCTCTCATCCGGTATCATTAGCCAATCACTCGTGCGTTCCTCACTCGCCACCCACTGTTCGAATGGCCTTTATTTCTAGTGGCATCAGCCCATAATACGTGAGTTTTCATGAATATTTGACGAGAGGGGCCGTGCGCGTGACGTCTGGGCCACACCTCACTAGAATAGATTTCGCTCGTTACTTGGGCGAGTCGATAGCTTGATCCTCATGCTCGCTCCCGTCCCTCGTGCAACTCCAATCCCCGTTGCCTATTTTACTGCAGGTCGATCCAACAGACGTCACTATATTTTCCGGTTCGACCATTCTGGGGGAAGTGAGAAGGGAGGGAGCTGCATGAGGCAGGAGCTGCTTGCTACCTTGCACGTTCCACTTGTGTTGTGTGTCCCGCTAGAAAGTGGGTTCTAGCTCCTTGCCGGACACGCGTCAAGCATGTGCTCTAGGGTAGGCCCACCAGTAAAATTTGCTCTACTTTCTTCCTTGATACCGTCGAGGAGGTTCTGGAAGCGCATATGAAAAGCACTAGGCTTATGCACATATTAAGGTATGATAGCACCGAGCTTGAGCTTAAACTTAAATTAGAGGCCTCTGACCCGCAAAGACTATGATACCTTATTGACACGCTGTTTTCGGATTGAATTCGTACTCCTCTGAGTAATGGAATATGGAAAATGCAGCACCGAGGGAATCTGCTTCGTTAGACGATCCAAAAAACCATCCCTTGTGAAAGGTGTCATTACCTGCCATCGATGGAAGCGCTCCGATGGGGGGCGGGGTTGGGGGTGGAGGGTATGAATTCAATCCGAAAACATTGTAGACATGTAGACCGAGACCCTAACAGTAGGGCCTACAGCAAATGTTTGTACATCTCACTTGTGCATGTAGAGCACCATGAGCTAGGCCTAGGCCTAGATCCTGGATAGAGGTTGGAATCGCCTCCTTAGAAGTTAGTCCGACGTTTTGGATTTGTCAGACAAGGCCCACATTTACTTCTGTGATCAGTAGGCCAATGTTAACTTAGGCCCAACCTTTTCTTTCTCAGTTTCGCCATTAGAAAGAGATCCTGTGCAGCTCTCCTTGCCTCTAATTTTCAGTCATGAATGCCATGTGTGTATGATCATTGATTCATTTTGCTAAATATTAAGGAGGGGCAGACCAAGAAGAGATCCTTTCTGAGTCCACATAATGTTTTAGTAGCTGAGGAAAATTTTCCTTTAATTGCTATAATTTTACTTCTATTATTCAGCAAA